GAAGAAGAGTACCACCACACTTCTGTGCCATGTCGTAGGCGTTTTTCCTTCGAGGATGACGGAATTGATCGTCAAACGTGTACCTATTATTTTTTCCTTTAGATTCTTACGTAATAAATATTAAACAAGGGGGAGGGGGCAATGACATATACTATAAAAACATCTTAGGGAGGGGCAGTGGCGGCGTAGCATGGGTTGGCACATGGTTGGCACCCATTTCATTGAACATGCAATAAAATGTATATCGTTAAAAATAGAAATAAAATAACAATTCATACCTACATACTCGTATGATGAAAACTGCCTAGGTTGGTGGGCACTTACAGCTCTCGTTCATAGTCAAGCTTGTAGTAATAGTAGTAGGTACTTGATCTAAAACAAAACCAGTGGATAAATAAGATAAGTGGGAAAAAAAACAGTGGATAGATCTTGAACAAGGGACGACTAGAAAAGAGGACCACAATCCCAACAGAACAGCCTAATCATTTACCAACTCTCAAACCACACATGTAATGCAATAAATGATTTGATTTGATTTAATCTGGTTTACTGACAGCTCCAAGATGGCCTTGGGAACGGGAGCGGGCGTCTACTGTAAACACTTCGAACACAGTGAACGCTTAAGGAGGTTTGCTACAGTGTTTGAAGCTGAATTCTATGCTATTATTATGTGTGCATTAAATAACGGGTGTAAAAAACGCAATATTTACATCCTGAGCCACAGCCAGGCAGCACTCAAACAAAGCGAACGAATGGACGAACAAACTCGGAAGGCATGTCAAAGTTTCCCTGATGTGGGATACCTGGGCATACAGGGATCGAATGCAATGAAAGAGCCGACAGTCTAGCGAGACAAGGGTCAGAGACGATACCTATTGGGTCAGAACTGATAGGTACCTTTATCTAAAAGCATAATATGGCCATATATTATGCAAGAAGCACAGGGCTGAATGGAAAAGCTTCAACGATATGAGCCTCACCAAATCATTCCTAAAGGGAAATAGAGGGTCATGGAGAAAACTCATTAAGCGGAAATAAAAGGTAAGCCCAAGCAATTACGGGTACGCAAACTGGGCATTATGGAACGAACCACATGTCCCACAAAATGGGCCTGACAACAGAAGACAGCTCTCGAGCATGTGGAATACATGTGGGGTCCATGAAACACTTAATACCTACTGTAAGGATGGGTCTAGTCTACTTGGTTCAACATATCCTGCATCAGAAGACTATTAGGTGGTTTTCACTCAGACGCTTAATTCACTTAACTAGGATAGGATTTTTAGGATAAGATAGGATTTTTTTGGATGATAGGGAATAAAAAAGGGAGCATAAAAATCCTAATGGGTCGCTGTGAACTACGCTTAGGTATGGTCCTACATAAGAAACCCAGACAGCTTTGTATCAGCATTGGCTACTAGCAGTATATCAAGGGGTTCGCGTATGTATAGGATGCAAGCAACAGACTCAGTCTTCTCTTTACTCGACTGGTTGGGGGTGGACCAGAGTCGATAACAACATGGAGCCTAGATGGACCGATTTGCACGTAGCTGCCGAATGTTGACTGGAAATGGTGAGATGCTTAGGTTTTATTAATCTAAGGTGAGATGTAAGTGCAAGAAGTAGTGCAGAAGCTGGTGCTGTCTGAAAAAACAACTAAAAATTGCTAAAATGGTCACAGCCATATCTCCCGTATTATGATTATCAATCCTCACTTTCATCACACTTACCTTTCCGTTAAATCAATCACTAGTAATAGTATGTAGAAATAAGTGTTAGTTAAAATAATAATAATCATTAGACGTTTAGACAAATTCAAGTTCTTTATTTAGTGCTTTCCACTTATGATATTTTCAATATTAAAATGTATTTAAGCTATTTTCAACCTTAAGTGTCACACATAGAGTTCAAAATTAATTGAAGAAAAAATACAAATCATGGTATATTGATGAGCCAGCAACTCTCTTAGGCTCGTTGCTTAAATTTTGAGGTTGAGAGCCATCTGCGCTCACCTATTGTCCGGTGAAGCTGAAAAAGCCGCTCACGGCTATCAGCATAGTCCGTCCGGAAAAAAAAAATCTAAATAAATTCTAAAATAATGATCCGTACTTGCTTATGAACCAAATACATAGTATGAATTCATGGATAATTTTTTTTCCCGATACGCAGTAAAATTCGCGCGCTGCGTCCTGAAGAAAAATTTTTTTTTCACCTACTTTTTGCGAAAAAAAAAAACCATACTACGGGATATATTTATAATTCTGATAAATGTAGCTTTCAGGACATATTTTTTTTATTAGAATATATCCAGTGGTTTAATAGTAAACGACGTTTATTTAAAAAAATACATTTTGGATTTTGTGAATTTTGCTCAATATTTCTATTTTTTTGTATGAAAAGGCAAAAAGTTTATTCTAGAAATAAATTTGCCATCCTTTAATTATCCAAAAATGATACCACACTTGCCCTAATACCCATAGTTTTGAAGATATGGGCTTTAAAGTGAACAAAGGCAGAAGGAAACTTGCCCCCCTCCCCCTGCTACCACCGGGGGGGCTCCCGATGTCTACCGACGCGACGGAAATCTACTCAGGAGCACCCAAAGAACCACTGTTGCAAAAATGAGCCTTCTATACCAAAGTGGAGGGGTTCTTGCACTAAATTCCCTACTATACATTGTGATTGCTGCTGTCTACATTCTCATCACCATTCTCATTGCTTTCACTATTTTGAAATATTGCCTATAGACATGCAAGTCCAGTTTGGAAAAATAATAACTATTTGGATGTGATAGATTCGACCCTTAGATCTTCCCTTGAAAAAATTCTAAATTTGCAATTCCTGGTTACAAGCCACACTCCCTATTCGGCTTGGTCTCAGATCATAGAACAATAAAATTCCTTTTTATGATCTGAGGGCTTGGTGGTATCGGCATACGCAAAATTTCTAGTGTTGCTCTTGCCTTTCTTTCGTCCGCTTGCAGTACTCTTCCCCTCGTAAAAACATTTTTTAACAGCACTTTTTTAGATGAAATCTGTACCTAAGGCGGAAGAATCTTGGAAAAGTCTCTGTCCTAGTGAGGACGTCACAATGGAATGTCATCATCAAAAACTCTGGGACGCTCCACTAGCGAAAGAGACTTTTAAGCATGTTTTTCAAAATTCTATCAGTAACACTAACAAAGCTAGGATCCTAGCAGTTTCTTGTCTCCGGTCACTGGCTGAATGCATTTCCCTCCAAAAATCTCGGCACCTTTTTCGACAACGATTCTTTCCTGGTGTGTGTGGGTGGGCTTACGCCTCGGAGCACCAATCTGTGTACCCCATACGTGCCCCTGTGGCAAAGAGGTGGACCAATTCGGTCACCACGGTCTCTGTTGCCAGCAAAGTGCTGGTCGTCTTGCCCGACATGCTGCTCTCAACGACGCCACCAGGAGAGCCCTTGCCAGCATCAACGTTCCTTCCACGTTAGAACCACGTGGATTGGTCCATGATGATGGCAAGAGACCTGACGGTCTCACTCTGGTTCCCTGGGAACGGGGACGGGCTTTAGTTTGGGACGTAACATCGATACATTAGCCCCTTCCCACCTTAGGGAATCAGTTGCTTAAGCTGAGGCTGCAGCGGAGTCGGCTGAATTAGCCAAACAGCGCAAATATGAGTCACTTTCTAATGATTACATATTTGCGCCTTTTGGTGTCGAGACCTTCAGACCCTGGGGACCGCCGAATGCTAAATTACTGTTTCGGACCATTTCCCCTAAATTAAAATTTCGGAAAATTTAAATGCTGGCTCTTTCCTTGCACAAAGGCTTAGTATTGCTATCCAGCAAGGAAATGCAGCCACCATCCTCGCCTCTTTGCCTCACGGACACACTTTTTATTTTTGAGTAGTAATAAGTTTATTTTTTTTTGTTAAGAGTTAATTTTCCGTTAGTTTTAAAAATTTCTGTTTATTGTGAACTAACTTTTGCCCGCGGCTTCACCTGCGTGAAATTTAGATTGCCATAGATCGTTTATTATAGCCTAATTATGTTATTCTGGGTTATTAGATTACAGCTGTTGGGCTTGGGTCTGCCTCGGTATTGCAGTGCGTCGAAGATGTTTGCACAAGCCCGTACCACAGAATGTATCACGGTAAAACCATAAAGTTAATATTCCTTCGGAATATTAACTTTATGGGTAAAACGCGCTAACAAAGTCAAAGACGAAACAAGATATTATATAATATGCATTTTTTATTTGTAAATATTTAGTCTATTTGGTTCATTATTTGTATTATTCACACTTAAAAAAATATGCATAAGTCCAAACACCTTGTTTTTGAAACTAAAATGACTAAAACACAGTAAATGTTCGTGAAGCGGTCTTACTGTTAATAATTTATTGTTTCGTCTTTATCAGCATTTAAGCAACCAATTCAGCTTGCTAAATCAGTCGGTCTTGTAGGTAAGAGTGCGTGAATCGAACCCGCGACCTCGGCATAGTAGTCCGTACCAACCACTAGGTACACTAAAGGGCCGACTTATTGTATCTACTATCTACATAAACAACTATTTCTTTTTCTTATAATATTAAGTAAAATAAACACTTAATAATCAGTAAACACATTTTTTTTCGGAAGGACATAGCGTAGGTAGGTTTAGTATTACAGGACAATAATTTAATAGATTACTGGCCACAGTACTTGTGAAGCATATTACATAATTGCCGCCGTTTCCAGTAGGTATTGTTTTTGTAGGTCTCGTTCACTACTGTAACTTGGATTACTCCGTGATAATAACGTTCGAGGATCCTTAGCAAGCGTCTAAGTTAAAATTAGGAAATTAATATACAAATCGTGTAAAATTATAATTTCGCACTGCCAGTCTACGTGATATGCGGCCTCGGCAAGCGCGACGAGGGCTTTGCCAAGCTACCTGCCGCACGCCGAAATGCGGTTTGACCGGTTCTCCCGCTCACACTTATGGGTCATTTTATTTATCGCAGATTCCCTCCCACTAGCCGGTTAGCTCGCCCACCAACACGTACCGTTTACCAAACGGTCAGATTTTTGTCCTCATGTGGAAGTTGTCACACACAACACAACAAACACTGTTAAAGTTTATTGTATGCGCAAGCACAATACTTGCGCGCTCAATTAAATTTATTTGATGTCAATTGCATGTTGTGTGTGTTTTAAATTTATTTAAAAAAAGTTTGATAATAGTGATAATAGTGTTTTTATGAGAGTACTTATTTAGTGGTTAGTGATAAAGTGAACAACATCTCTCAGCTGTAGGCTGTAGCAGCATCTTGCAAAGTAAATGTTCGGGTTTAAGTGTTATAGGTGCTGATATCTTAAGCAATATCATGGACAACTGCTGCTTTTTGTGGAGAAGTGACGAGAAAATATGACAACACAGGCGTCATCAATAAACATGGAATCTTTGCCCAAGCAATTTGTAGCCGCGATGCGAACATTGTTTGATATTATGGACGATAAACACACCGGCTATGTAAAATTGACAGATATTGAGAACCGATGGCGCGATGATCGTACAAAAGGTTTACCGAGAGGTGTTATAGAGAGCTTGCAAAAAGTTGCGTCCCATGATGGGTTGTTAAGTTTCGAAAGATTTTGCACAGGGCTCAAGATTTGTCTTCTCCGCAACCAAGTGGAATGTGCTTCTAGCAAAGTCGAACGACTTAATAGCGATGTGGAAAACGCGGTATTACACTCACAAATGAGTGCGCAAACACATCGCCCACCATCCGCTCCATTATTGGATGCTAATGAACCACAGAACGTTGAAATTCATTGGAATTTATTGAAAAAATCGGAAAATATTACACAACATAGGACTCTAAGTATGCCTCAGTTAATATCGCGAAAGGAACAACCCATTCAAGAACTGCGGCATAGCGCAACGAGTGCACTATCCAAGCATGATCAGCAAAGAGCTTATGGCCCACCAAAACCACCAAGATTGGAAAAGAATGTTAGCGATAGAAAAGAATCTTCGAGACCAAGCTACAAATCAGAAGAAGAATTGCATTTTGATAGTGAAGAAGTGAATGATAATAAATTAGATTTCGAAGCAATATCTAGATCTGTTGAAGAACAAAGTAGGGGCCTTGGTGATGGTCGTTCGGCAAACGAGACACAGACACATGTTAGGAAAACACCTCGCCGACGAGAACCTCGTAGACATACACTGCATAACGGTGTGGATTATAACTTATTAAAACGTATGAAACAAATCGAACAAGAAAAAGATGTCCTGTTACAAGGCTTAACAGCAGTAGAGGAAGCACGAGAATGGTATTTAAAGCAACTTACTGAAGTACAAGAGAAGATGCGCTATGCTGGGCGAATGGGCGCGTATGTGGTAATCTTTCAATTTTTTTTATTACTAACGCCTGCTTACGGATTATATGTATTTTTTATGATAGGTAAGTAGGTACTTAGTTGGTACCAAAACCAAAGAAACAACCGGCAAATCCCGCAGAATTGCTAAACTCAAGCACAGAATAAGTAATAGTACAGGTCTCAAGGCAGGGCGGGGCATAGCTCGTCGAGAAAAGTTTTCGAATGGCGGCCATCACTCACGGGCTGGAAGAGTAATGTGCAAAATAATGGGCATGCCTCCCACTAGGTGGACTGACGATCTAATCGGTGAAGGTCGTAGGAAGTTGGTACCTGGATGTGGGAAGCGCAGGACCAGGTGTTGTGGAAATCCTTGAGTGGCCTTTGTCCAGCAGTGGACGCATTTGGCTGAAACGAACGGACGAACTCGTCTAATTAGCTACTCGTAGATTTCTTGTCAAATGGCGAAACTTTATACGCCATTTTGAAAACAAACGTTATACCGTGGTTAATAGTAACGTAGTTATAATTTACTCTAAATACGATATTGTTCCCTTAACACTTAGGTAAGTACTTAGAATGTCACAATAATAACGATCATGATCTTTTAGTCGCAGTAAAATACACAAATATTTGTTTGTTTATTGTTACAGTATGGTTACAGTCAAAACTCATAATTTCTGTCAAGACTGAAAAAATCAGTCAAAAGTGTTTTTTTGACTGATGTCCTTGATCAATTAAATCACTCTTGACTGATTTATCCAGTCAAAAGTGGTTTTGACTAGAGATGAAACGGATAGTTGTTTGGCCGGATACCGGATATCCGGCGAGCTGCTAGGCCGGATAGCCGGATACCCGGCGGCCGGATAGTTGGCCTTGGCATTGTCTCGTTGCATGTCGTGACGAGTTTAACGCCGCACAGCAGATGCTTCGAACGCGATCAGTGGGTCTAGTAGACTAGACCAGTCGAAAATCGAATCCGTCCGAATAGAATGTTAGATTTTGCCACTTGTCTAGGGGGCAGATCAATTCGGGCGATTTCGGTTGCCATCGTGAGTGTGTGATTGAATAGCGAAAATTAAATTATTTTACTTGCTGCGTAATCTGAATCTGACTGAACTGCATCATGTTATCAGACCATCAGTGAAAAAAAAAGATCGCCTATTTGGCAATATTTCGACATTAAGAGATATTTTCTATTTATGTATTCGTCATTATAGTAGTCATTATGTAATAGCCCAGAAAAAGAAATGAAAGGCCTTAATATGGCTTTTTTTGTAACTTTTTGGACTATAAATGAAAGCCGTCATGATTATAAGCCATTTTATTGATATTTACCTCAAAGATTAATGTATTTCATTTTATTATAGGAAATTGTCATAGTTTTTTAATATCCGGTATCCGGCCGGATAGTGAGTTACTATCCGGTATCCGGCCGGATATCCGGCCTACCGGATAGTTACCGGATATCCGTTTCATCTCTAGTTTTGACCAAGGGCGTTAGTCAAAACCACTTTTGAGTGCAAAAAAAATATTTAACCGAACCGAACAAATTATTAAATCTATTTAATTTTATCTTTTACCTGACCTACCTAAGTACTTACCTTAAATACAAGAAGAATCAAAAAAAGTTTATTTAAATGATTTAATTAAGTAGTTATTGTACTATTTATAAACTTTTCTGTTTATTTAAAGGAGCCGTGGAGTGAAGCACATCAAGAGAGGTTGGAATTATTGCGAGCTCGTGTGCTAGAGTTGAATCGACAGCTCGGAGCCCTAGCCGCTGGCTGGCGACACGGTCAACTTTCCCTCCACATGAACCTCGCTCTGCCCACTATGACACTTACAACGACCACAGCAACGCCTAATAACGCTGCAGTTCTAAGGTCTCAAAATCGAATGCTAGCCGAGGTTTGTTTTAATTTAATTTAAATTAAGCCTATTTTAGTAACTTTTTATTCTTTGTTTTATAATAATCTAACAAAGGTGCAAACTATTATTTTTTAGTACATGTTTTTTAGCAATTTGTACTAATGATCCCGTTAACTACCTAACTAATCAAACCAAACCACGGGTCTCGTCAACCCGTCATTTTTTATTTATTTTTTTATTAGTAAGTAAGTAATTATTCCGTCCGATCGGACGACTGACTCCGCGAGCCGTTTATTCTGCAGAAGAATGAAACATCAAGTCATAAGAAGTATTAGGTAATAATAAGTAACTCTGTCTATTTTAATTAAAATGGAAAGCGAAAGTTTAAAATCTTCTACGAAAGCCAAAATGCTTGTGTTTCGAATGGGTTCACCGCAATAGTCTAGGGGCGGCTGGGATCGAACCCGCGTTCCTCGGATCACGCACGAGTCGGCCAGTCCCAACCTTTACCGTTCGGCTATTGGCGCAATTTAAAACATTATCGGACTAGAGTTACAGCATTTTCGTGATAGTGAGTGGTTACTTTTACCTATAATAGCAATATACTCATTTTCTTACTAGGGCTATAGCACCGATAAATACATTATAGTATTATTAATACTAGTCTATAGTAACTCCTCGTGTTTCAAACTAATCGTGCATGCATTCTTGAATAGCAATCTGTAGGAAACTACTAACTTAATCAAGTTCAATTTGACCGTACTTAGGTACATTTAATATCTGTTTTTTCATTACAGGAAGTCAATAGAAAAAATGAGAGAATTTCTGTGCTGGAACGAGAAAAATCTGCTCTTATAAGGGAATTACTACTGCAAAGAAATAGATCAAAAATTGCTGATAATTTTGCTTAATCATAGGTAATTGAATTGTAAGTAAGCAGAGATAATATTATTAAAATAGGTCCTTAAAATATGTAGGTACCTGCTTAGTGATTTTTTTCTTTTCATTACATTTAAAAAGAGAAGTAAGTAAACAATGTTATGTACCTATACCTACCTAAGTAGGTACTCGTTCAAAATTGTCATAGCACACATCCTTATCTGCATATTATAATACTTAATTATTATCTACCTAGTTTACCTAGCAAAATTAACATTAACTGTTTGATCTGGTTTGCACGAATAACTTGCGTAAAGGTAATAGTATCGTTAACGTAAATAATTTGTATGAGAATCTGAGAGCGCCTCTATCGGACGTAAAACAAACTAAATTTGGCAGCACAAATGCCTATTGCATAGTAACGTAATCGTACGGTAAATGTATCGTATGATGTTTATACTAACTTTGCGATCACGAACCTTTTTTTGACGTATAGAATAGTAAGGGGCGATAGCTGGCTAACGTAATCTTACGAATGTTTTGTCACGGTAAATTTTTCAGTGTTAAAACTTGCGTCGGAAGTAAAAAGTGTTTTATAAATACATTTCAGTGGGTTTTACTTTTAATACATAAATTTACGTAAAATGCAAGGAGCGCGTAGAGTTGAACGTAGTGCATTGTATTATTATCTTGCAACAAGATTACTTGAGATTGAGGGAGGTAACAATGAACAAAGAGAAACTAGGTAGGTAAGTACGTGATAAGTTTTTCTATTAAAAAAAAGCTTATTTTTCAGATAAATGATTTCATTTTTATTTTAATGCCCTGTTACAGAGAAATAAGTCGTAGATGTAAGCAGAGAAAAAAAAATAATTTATTAGATCTAAACGAAACCGAATTTAAGAATAGGTTTCGTCTTAGTAAAGAAGCTTTTATATTCTTATGCGATAAATTACGTCGACATACTTCTTTGAAGTCAACCAAACGAATTAGCTTGGAACTTAAGGTGAGATAAGCAAACATTCTCAAAATATAGATTAATGAGTTACTGATGAATTTACTATTTCTAATTTCGTTTACACAGGTTCTTTGTGCATTGTCTTTTTACGCCACTGGATCGTACCAAAGACTAGTTGGAATGGCAAAACATTTAGGGCAAACTACAGTCAGCAAGTACGTACCTACGAGAAGTGACCGATGCACTTTTTAGTCCGCCAATATTGAATTTTTATATTAAATTTCCGACAACAAGATAGCAAAGAGATGCGATAAAAAATCAGTAAGATGTTTGTTTATTAAATTATAGCATTTACAATTTACATTACCTTCATAAACATACATACATTAATATTATACTTTGAAAGATTTGGTCAAAACATGTAAAAAATGGAAAAAACGACTTTTGGTCCAAAATTTGGATGACGCCTCCTGCAAATAGGTCAAACTAATGACATTTGACTATTTTTATCTCGATTACCTGGCAACACTGGCAGTTACGGGCACGGGGCCACAACATTTTGGGACTTGGGTGGTTTTAAGGAATTGTTTCACGGGGTTGGTTTAAGTTAGAAAAAAAGTAAAAATGGGTTTCGGCGCGGAAAATGGTCTAGATTAAGCGAAAAATGCAATAAGTATGGCAACACTGGAAAATGTTGTTTTTCCAAATGATACTCCTCAGCAAACTACGTAATCGCTCTATACAACTCGACTTTCCCAAATGTTGCCAACTGCCCAAAAAATGCATTTGAAAAATTAGAAATCTGAAACTTTTTACAAAATGGCCGCTCACTCGGTCGCCATCTTGATTTTCTGAATTTTCGGATTTTTCCCATAATTTGGGTCGTTTATCCGACCAAACCCCATTTTTGGATTTTTTCTGCCATATCTCCTTCTGTCCGTCCTTAACTTTAAAGACACCCATGTCGAAAAAAATGCTTTTCCCCGTAGCTGCCAGTGTTGCCAGGTGATCGAGATGAAAATGGTCAAATGTCATTTGTACGACCCTTTTGCAGGAGGCGTCATCCAAATTTTTGACCGGAAGTCGTTATTTNTAGTTTAATTATAACTTATAGTTAAACATTTTTTATCAAAACAATGAAAACAACCAGACAAGGTAATAAATTGACATTACTAACCAACGAAACATCACAGAAGAAAATGAAAATGAAAATATTTATTGCCAGAAATAGTATTATTTTAATCTGGGGGCACGGCAGTGCCCCCACCAAGTCGAGCAAAAAAGCGGCACGGCCGTACCATCCTTTTCTCGAAGCAATTCAGGCCATTTTCGACCGCCTGTAACTTCGTTGTGGATAAAACTAGAAGGCTGAATTTTCATTAGCTATGCAGGCATTGTAAAAACACGGTATATTTAAAATTTCATTCAATTTGAACCAGTAGCTTAAGAATTATAACGGGTCAAAGTTACTTCGACGGTCCCTACGTACAATTCAGTATCTACCAGTTCCGTGATTTGCCGTTTTTGTTTGCAAAACCTTCAGAGCACCCAACAGTTACGGCTCAGTTAAAAAAACATACAGTTTTTATTCAAATTGAACCTTAAAACGCCAAAAAACAAATCCCGCAACTACAAAATTAGAACGATTTCCGCAGTAAAATTGCATTAGTGGGAGTTAAGAAATTTTACGTTGGACCGCACGCCTTACTCCGCGCGCCCAGCCCCGCAACTGCCATTTTCATTCGCGCAGATCGAGTAAATTTATACGTAATTTATGAAGGAAATAGGTATTATTATGGTTTCTGACTTAATTTATTTCACTCAACATTATACCAACGACAAATTAATCAATTAACTGTAGGCATAAGACAGTTGCGTTGTTTTACTAGGGAAAATTAAAGTTACTATTATAAGTAGGTGGCACTTACCTATTTTTACGTCGGAAAATTAAAGTATCTTCTAGCCGTAACTGCCACTACAAATGTTTTACTTTGGAAAAGTTTGTTTTATGTCTATAAATTAGTGCCAATAACGATGTTTTACGCTGAGAAATTGTATTTTAGCAATATTTGGTGGAGATTAAAGTGAAGTCAAAACAATATAAAATATGATATACAACACGACTGAAGTATCTAGGATCATTTATTAGACTCAACGCAACCAAGTTCTTCTCCTATGCTACTTTATAATACAAGATACAAGTAAAAAATCATAAAATGTATTTTATTTATTTACTAAGCATAATAAGGCAATAAGAAATAAATGTAAGCAGGTAACACTTTCAAACAAAAGCTTCAATTAACTGCATTTAGAAGCTACTATTACATGATATTGCATACATACATACATACATACATACCCGCCAGAAGGATGAGGTATACCCACTAAAAATACCCTAACTATGATATTCCGGACAAAGACCTCGCCCGCCTACACGGCGACAGTTGGGACGAGAGCAACTGGAAGTACACAGCTTTCCCATACACACACTCACCGTCAGCAGATGGTGGTGGTGGCCTATCTATACAATGCCTACCGTGCAGCCTCACGCCCCTATTACGCTGGCCATTACCGAGGAAGGAAGATAGGAGGCAATTATACTGTCACCTTCCCTGGAGCGAATTCAAATGCACCCGCACTTGGTTCGTAGTCGCGCTATCGTACCGCAGTTTCTTGCGGCACCTTGTCATCTCAGATAGAGGTGATTCATAACCACCCAGGTTTTGCTACCGTCCAAATAGCTATAGACTATGCTATCCCGTAAGAATATGGTGTGTCGTATGTTCCTAGCCACCGCAATACAGGTAGGGCTCGAAGGATAAGTGCCCAGTCATGGTGCGATCGCTCGAGCAACCTTAAACTTCAGCACAAGTGCGAATAAAGTTCGGTGGCCCAACTTAGCCACGGCGAGGTGGTTTATCAACTACTAGACTACAGCACAGTCTAGCGAGTCTCACGTCAAATGGCCTCTCTGTCCTCACCTCGTTCTTCACGCTGCGTTAAAGCCGACGATGTAGCCCTGTAGACTTTCTGGACCTTTTAAGGTCTTAGAAGATGGGTAGCGTTACCCTTCCCTACGAGGGTGATGCCTTAGATGGGATAGAATCATGCTTTTCAGGGTGCCAGTATAGAACTCCCGGCCTTTCTCCATAGCTTTCCGACATAGAGTTCCAAATTAGGGAAGCAGCCACGAAAAAGCAAGCTGTCTTCCATACGCACGGCGACGGATTGGAAAAAGTACGAGCTGCCACTGGTTATATACAATTAAGGTCACCGTATTTGCGCTCAGTACTTGGCGCCACTGGTGATTAACAGGACCTTTTTCTTAGATATTTGATCTGGGCCTTAGCTTTGACAGTGATGCGGGCGTCGGGTGATGGTGTCAGGGATGCCTTTAAATATATGTGGTCCCTGGCCTGGGGCGACCATAATGCCGTCTGTGGCGCCCAGGCAAGCCGCCTCGCTGTTGGAAGGGAGGCTCTGAAAGTTATTAAGATATTCTTGTAATTATGAAACTATCTGCATGAAAGATGATACCTTGAAATGTCCATGCCCTTGAAAAGGGTTCCATTTAGTACCCAGTCGTATTTAATGTTCCACAAGATCGAACTCAAAAAAGACCCATGTGGATCTTCGGACTCGATGCCATGCTGTCAAACCTGGCCGGCACTATTGACAAAGAAAATTTACCGGTTCTACAGGTATTATTCAGTCAAAAGACCCCTTAGATAAGGAAGAATCTTAAGGTATTGAAGTGCCTCCAATATGCAACTATGTGGGAAACGAGGCGGGACGCTGTTAAGCCTCGTCAAGTAGGACTATGGGCCTAGCGTGAGAGCTACGGTCAGTAGTAGCTGAACTTTGTTCCCGTGTACAATTACTTATGTGGCAGTTAATAATTTAAACAAACATATTAATCCAACGTAAAAGCCAGTAAGTACCACTTACGTCATTTGTAATTAGAAACTTTCCGTTGTATAAGTGAGTAAATGACAAATAATATNAATAATACTTTTCTATATTCATATACAAACGCCATTTATGTACCTACATAATCAGCAGTGACTGTGATAAACAGCGCAGAAAATATCTTTATCGATTGTGGTACAACCCTAGTGTAAAATGAAAATTATTTCTTTACACAAAATATTCATAAATTCTGGATTATGAGCATGAAATCTTTGCTTACAACTTAAATTAATGTTTAAAGAACATAATTATCACACTTAGTGCTTAAAATTCTAAGCGCATTCACAAAAATAAAGCTAAAGTTTGGAGGTGTCGATTTCAATAAATTTACCTGTGAAATTAATTTTTTGCAGGATTATTCCTTTGGTGTACATCACAATCAAGGACGGAACAGGTCACCATTATATTAGAAAACAAATTTACCAAAAATAAACAGGATTTTACGATATTTTTATAAAAAACTATGAATTGAAATTTTCTTTGTGCCTCTTAGTGGCACTGTCTGTCAAATCTTTTGCAAAAATGGTTCTATTGACGTGACGATGACAGCATCACACATCTCTTTTTATCACACAGGGTTGCAGATAGTGACATCTCGCTCGCTCATTCTTTGTGGCTCTATTCCGAAGGAATATTTATTAACTTTATGCTGCAAGTGCTGCAACCCTGTGTGATAAAAAGAGATGTGTGATGCTGTCATCGTCACGTCACACGGTGGATCGAAATGGCATTAAAGTGGACATAGGGATTTTTTCCGGAAAATCTAATTTTAAAAATTGCCAATCGATAGTCCTTTGCTCACTCATCACGACATGTCATATCACATTTTTCTCTAAACCTGATAGTTTTGCTTAAAAAAAATAAATTGTGGTTTTTTTGTATGAAACGAGATATAAAGTACTAATTTTCTCCGAAGACCTGCTAGATCGTGACTTGAAACAACTTAGGTCGGTATAACTGTATTATTTGCTAATATTCTAAGCTATTTCCAGCTGCTCCAAACCGCAACTTAGCCTGTTAAACGATTCCGAAAAAAAATTAATATTGACTCTTCTTGTAATTATATTTTAGTTCTTTTTTTTTAGAAAAAGCGTCGATTACGGTACTAGAAAGTGATTTTATCGTTAGGTGACATTGTTATCTATTCTCAGAATCTGTTAAACCCTTTCTTTCCTATCAGCACATGACTTTAAAACAACAATGAAGTTACACATACCTCGTAATTAACGTGTTTTGCGAATAAGCAGATAATGGTCAGCTGGGGTGGGGGTAAAAAACAGATAAGGATTGTTTATTTGTTTTAAATTTAGTTTGGGCTGTGTAACGTCATCATTAACATTCAACTTTAAATGCGGTTTTAACATGTAATTACAATGGAAACTATTGTGAATAATATAGATTTGTTCGTAGTCTTAAGAAATACGTTAAAACCTTTGATACAGTGAGGAACTTTATAATCACCTTTTGCTGAAAATTATACTACACTACATGCTTCGACTACTACGCGCTCACAATGTATGAAAATTTTAGTTTTTGAACGTTTCCCGCTAGGGGCGCTGTACAATCCGTCATACATTTAATGTAATTTTTTGACACGCTCACTAGTTAGCGCATTTGATGTAAACTCACACTAGGCCCTCAGACCTTTTTAATGTATGTATGTATAGTAGCTGCGTTTATTTCTTCAGGAGAATAATACTCACTTAGACGCGCCACACGTCTTTTTTTCTGTTTCGGAGTTAATATATGTAACGGTTTCCTCGGGATAAAGGAAGTTTCACCCATCCTGAACCAGTAACAAACCGAATAAGCGACATTTTAAAAGTAATTTTGATATTGTGACTCAATTATTACAACAATAATTGCAAAAAAAAAGAATTAACTACTCCTTGTCTATCATAGAATCAAGTAGCTTATTCCAATTTTCTTAATAGCTGTAAGGTTTATTTTTATTTAACAATCAATGTGGAAAGTCGCAATGTGCCTAAGGTTGACCAGATCGTACCAAGTCGTGTTTGTCGCTTTTATTTATGACTTATTATTGGTAGAAGTACGGCAGTGCTACCAAACGTAACAAAAGTGGCGGGAAATTCGACAGATTGTTAATATTTTGATGTGAAAAGAATGGTGTACTAATGGTTCCTGGTGTGGGACTGGTGCACCCACCCTAGTTGAAGCATGTAGTGCAGAAGGTGGCATGTTGTCTTTAATTGCGTCTATATTTGACGTTGTTTTTTCACTAGGTTCAGTTTTTGAACCAACATTTTCCTCAATTTTGTCTTCATCAAAAACTAGTTGCCAGACCCAGTTAATAGGGATGTTTTCTGGGTAAAAAAGCAAGAGTTTTAATTAGTCCGTCAGTAAGCTAATCAAAAACTACTCGAAACGTATTTTTCACTTTTTAAAACTAATGAAAATGTAAAGAGATAAAGCGTGCGAAATTTCTAAAGAAAAGGCCCGTGACAACAGTGAGTGCGTAAAAGTGCCGCACTTTGTGACGTCGCGCGAAACTTCAACGCACTATAACTTTGTAATTATTTGTTTGATTGACAATTAAAAATATACATGTCCAATATATTTTTATATTAAAATTTACGGAACAAAAAGGAAACTAGCCTATTGGAGATTCAAGCCAATCACTGTTTCCTCTTAAAAATTAGGGAAGAGATAGATGACAGTTTGTCCATCGTCCATTAAGATTAGTACAAAAATTCCGGCAAAACTTTTTTTAACTTAACACTGTTTTCTTCTGTCAAATGTACCATTTTCTGCAAAAGGTGATTATAAAGTTCTTCACTGTCTATCAAAGGTTTTAACGTATTTCTTAAGACTACGAACAAATCTATATTATTCACAATAGTTTCCATTGCAATTACATGTTAAAACCGCATTTAAAGTTGAATGTTATTGATGACGTTACACAGCCCAAACTAAATTTAAAACAAATAAACAATCCTTATCTGTTTTTTACCCCCACCCCAGCTGACCATTATCTGCTTATTCGCAAAACACGTTAATTACGAGGTATGTGTAACTTCATTGTTGTTTTAAAGTCATGTGCTGATAGGAAAGAAAGGGTTTAACAGATTCTGAGAATAGATGACAATGTCACCTAAGGATAAAATCACTTTCTAGTACCGTAATCGACGCTTTTTCTAAAAAAAAAGAACTAAAATACAATTACAAGAAGAGTCAATTTTAATTTTTTTTCGGAATCGTTTAACAGGCTAAGTTGCGGTTTGGAGCAGCTGGAAATAGCTTAGAATATTAGCAAATAATACAGTTATACCGACCTAGGTTGTTTCAAGTCACGATCTAGCAGGTCTTCGGAGAAAATTAGTACTTTATATCTCGTTTCATACAAAAAAACCACAATTTATTTTTTTTAAGCAAAACTATCAGGTTTAGAGAAAAATGTGATATGACATGTCGTAATGAGTGAGCAAAGGACTATCGATTGGCAATTTTTAAAATTCTATTTTCCGGAAAAAATCCCTATGTCCACTTTAATGCCATTTAGATCCACTGTGCGTCAATAGAACCATTTTTGCAAAATATTTGACAGACAGTGACACTAAGAGGCACAAAGAAAATTTCAATTCATAGTTTTTTATAAAAATATCGTAAAATCCTGTTTATTTTTGGAAAATTTGTTTTCTAATATAATGGTGACCTGTTCCGTCCTTGATTGTGATGTACACCAAAGGAATAATCCTGCAAAATATTCATTTCACAGGTAAATTTGGACCCATTTATGCAAACAGGAACCAACCCACACTTTGAGTGAAATTGAGTTAAGTACATAGATGGCGCTCAAATAACGCATTCTATCTTCAAAAAAATTATGGTACATTTTTAACGACTAACAACAGAGATACAGCACTGTCACTTGCGGAACCAACCCGCTTTGGCCAACTTTTAAAAACTATAAAGAACTATACAGCATGGTCCCTAAGCACTTATTTAAACTAATTATGCAAACTAGAACCAATGTTGGTTGGTTCCATTTAGCAAAAATTGTTACAAAATTTTTATAACTAAACAGAACCAAAGATTGTTTTCTTAGTGGAAATCAGGTTAGTCTTGATGGAACCATGTAGCATAGTTCTTGATAGTGTTAAAATTAAGCTATTTAAAAATAAAAAATCCGTTCTTATCGTTGCGTTTGTACCTTTATCATAAAAAATGTCTTAATAATAACAAAATTTGATGAATAAATTTATGCATTGTTATGCATTTTCCGGATAAAAAAAGAATAGTAAACAGGAAAAGTTTGTTTTTTTTTTCTGCTAAACATAGGCTGTATAAAATATTCTCAAAATAGTTAAAAACCTTTGATAATTTACTATTTGATAAAGAATTTACGTATTCATTATTGATTAGGACTAATGTATACCATTATTTATAATTATAGAGTCGGTGTTGGAAGATTTGAAGATTTTATAGTTTCTTTGGACTGTCACTTGACAGCCTGGCACACTTTTACGATGGTGGATCAAAGTATTTTGGTTTGACTATAGAGCGTGAGAACACGCACACAGTCATAATTATTTTAGTGTGAATAAAAATAGCATCGAAATTACCTAAACTTGACATGCCACGCTAGACGTAAACGCTCTTAACAATTATTTGCTTCATACAGATTGCGGAAGCAGCGAAGTTGAAACCCATGGAGCTTGAGTTGAAAAGACTGGAAGACCTGTCAGAAGCCATTGTGCAGGACTTCACTCTGATGAGGAAAGCGGAAGAGGAAATGAGAGACACAAATGGTAAATTCAGATTAATATGATAACTTTTTTTTTGCTGCATTTACTCAAGTCACTGCAAAAAAAATTTTTTCTTTTATAAGTATTCTGATCTCATATCGCATTTAAAATAGCACAGATTCGTATGCACCTCAAAAATTTGTTCTGAGCTATTCTTGTATGACACGAATTATGTCCATTTGCGACGACAATGTGACATCTTCTATGTTAATCTAATTGAAGATGTCACACTGTCGTCGCAAATGGACGAATGAGCGATTTTCGCAGTGTAATGTTTACTAGGTTTCATAAGCCCTACGCGTTTATCTAAGAATATCCCTGCTCATACTTTATTTCTGCAAATGGTTACAACAATCTGCTTACCAAAGTGCAGACAAAAACGTCTAATTAACAGTATCTTTTGTCATTCTCTTTCAGAGTCCACCAACAACCGTGTCTTATTCTTCAGCATATTCTCAATGGTCTGTCTCCTTGGACTGGCCACGTGGCAAGTACTCTACCTTCGCCGGTACTTCAAGGCTAAAAAACTTATTGAATAGCAGAATAAGACTAGTGTGAACCGCTGGTAGAGTTACATGTGACGCAATACGATCAAATGATCACCTGTATAAATAGAGATTTATTAAATGCACTTGAAATTATGCTCTCATACAAGGGTTTTAGTCATATCTTCAGTTAAATCATCACATTGAAACAGTATTTTAATCCTTTCACATAAAATATATTGTACATTTTCATTATTTACTGTTAAAATTAAATAAGTACATCTACTTAGCACAAAATCATATGTGACTCTATTTGCGTTTATAGATCTTCGTTTTCTTTATATTTTATTATAAAAGAATAAATTTTGAATAAATTAAAGATTTCTTATTTAATTTTGTTGTATATGAGTTCTGTTTGAGGATGTAAAAAATGTTTAAAATATTATTTAGTTGTTTCATTAGAGTTCACAATTTCGGCCCTATGAAGATTATGATAAGGCTCAGTTTCCACTAAATCGAAGAGAAGATAATCACCTAGCCGTTCAGCCAGAGTAAATACAAATGAGTCATCTTCATAGAAACGTACCGAGCGCGGTTTGTATGTGAGCGCGCCAATATACGTATGCGGCGCGCACGCACTCACTGACAAAATGCGGCGCAACCACGAATGGCTCCCCGCTAAATTTTGTCAGTGTGTGCGTGCGCGCCGCATACGTGTTGGCGTGCTCACATACAAACCGCGCCCGTGCATTTCTATGAAGATGACCTACTCGTTTGTATTTACTCTGGTTCAGCTTCCTCTCTTTGGTGTAAATCGGGCCTAAATTTCAAGATGGCGACTATTGGTCTTGTGTAGGGTAGGTCTTAGTTTGATGCATCAGCTGTCGTCCGTGTCGATTCTTCATAAACTACGTTGGAATCTGCGTTTGCACATCCTTGGTGGAATAGCTGCAGCCTTATGCTGAAGTGAAATGAGAATCTCCTACCAACTACATGTTGCATTAAATACGTTAATAATACGTTTTCTTGAAATAAAAGCTAGACTGTGGTAATGTTGATATAGATCGTTTCATCCACGAAAACGCGCCCCACCATTCTTCCGCTAATGTTTGAGTGTTTATCATCGGTACCGTTATTATTATCCATGAGTGCACACGCACACTACAATAATGGACGCTCGGATTGCTCGGATCAAATTCCCCGCACCCCGCGCTTCCATCGACCAAAAATTCGTAGGACGCGTCTTCGTGGATGAAACGATCTCTATAGGGATTTTATGGTCCCATTCAGAACAAAACAAATAAAAAATAAAATTAAATAGATATTTTATTTTCGGGGTTCGAACAATTAAATTAAATTTTACTATCGCCTCCAAGGGCCAAAAAGTAGAATACTTGTTTACAATAAAATCGTGTGACCTTAAGTTTCTTTTGCGTACATTGCTTTGGCTATCCAATAAAATGTACTTTAAAAGAACAATATTATGTAAGACATAGTCCTACTAATATTATAAATGCGAATTCCTTAATATTTTATTATGTGAAAGTGTCACCGAACGTGTTTAATAACTTAAAATAATAAAATTTAATAAGTTCGTATAAAACTTTTTATTTTAATGTATATTCGCTGACAACTGCCGCTGAACAGTGTGTCGCTAAGGCATTGTCTATGAAAGATTAATTAATTAACCCGTTCACTGACACATTCACTTGTTAAGGAATAATGGCATTATTTATTTATAACTAAACATTTTCTATTTGTTACGGTAGATGCACATTGACAAATAATAGGGGATATATCTTCGCTTCGGTGGGCGAATAAGATAAAAAATGCCGAAACATAATTGATGCATAATAATAAAACCTCGAATCTGCNGAATCTGCCGAGCAATGGTATTGCAAGTGATTAATCGCAAGGTGTTATGGTTGCCAAGACTTAAAGGGAAGGGGTATATCAACCCATAGAAATATAAACTAAAACTTTCGCGATTCCGAGATCTTTACACTATAAAAACTTGGATTTAGATAAGCTATATTACACGAAATACAATTTGTTTTTTATTATAATTTGTTGGTGATTCAAAATCACTCAAGTAGGTCTAAGGATAAGGATCTAAAATTACTAATTACAATAGCGAAAATGCCAGTTAGGGAGGGCATACTTCAATGAGGGTTTTCTCGTATGAAAGATCCGCCAGATGGCGGGACGTGGATGTGGGGTCTACTGCTGCGTGATTGGTGGATTTTGACATATCTGTCAATGTCATGTCAAAAATAACCAATCATGCAGCATTTGGACCTCGCGTCTACGTATTGCCATCTGGCGGATTTGTCATTCGCGAAAACCCTCAATACAAGAAATAGAGTGAAGAAAGAATTTGACGTTCAACTCATTTCAACAAAACTTATCAAGCAGTTTCCATAATTTAGGGTCTATTTGTCGCTGTCACTCATGAGAACATCTTGATATGAGTGAAAGTGATGAACAGATCCCATTTGAAATTACGGTTCAGGCATTAATGTTTGTCTCATCAACATAATAAGTATGACTTCAACTCTCTTCGCTCCTAAGAAGGATTTTATTTGTTTCTCAATTTTAATTCAGAGTTCTGCAGCTCTTAACCTTTTCAGCGCCACGTCAAATACAAAAGCCATCACTCAGACGCCACGCTTGATAAATTACGATATCAATATAATCACTAGTATTCACTTTACTTATTACTCACATCATTTTTACTGACATCATTTTTAAGGCGGATTAATCCGTCGTTGGCGGTCAACCTGATGTACGGATGTATCCGTTATTGGCGTTGAAAAGGTTAAGACCTTTGTAAGCATGTTATAGCTTCTTTTACTACTGTCAAATTATAATAATCTCTCAAATTACGGACTTTATACACTCATTTACATGTTCATTTTAATGTTAGATGTTACAATTCAAGTAATAATAGGACATTCGATTCGATGACAACTTTCAACACTACTATAAAAGGAATACTGGAATGTGTATCAACAGAAATGCATTTTAAAACCAATTTCATTAATACAAAGCAGCTACTCTAGATAAAATAAATTCTTGAAGTAAAAATATAAGGAATATTATACTATTCATAAAAGATAAAAGAACTATAAAACGTAACATTACTTAAATTAAAAAGTTTAGATAGGTTTTAATACATATAAAGTAGAATTATTTAAAATGAGGCGATATTTGACTGCTATCCTATTTATTAAAACAAAAATATTTCGTTTGTATTAAAATACACCAAACATCGCCAAAAATACACTTGACTCAAAATTATCGGAGGCGATTAAGCCTAGGCGCAGACCACCGACTTTTAGTTGGCCGATAGTTTAGTCGGGCAGTTAATCAGTATGGGCATGTATGGAAGTGCGCACATTACACCGATTTGGTATCGGCCGATTCTTCATACAAATTAAAATCGGGTACAACTATCCGCCAACTAAAAGTTGATGGTCTGCGCCTAGGCTAAAAGGTAAAAAAACATAAGATTTTTCCTATATCACAACACTATGAATAAATATATAATAAAAATTAATTGTAATAATTTGCTATCGCACAACGCACGGATAGTTGCAGTAGATCACATTCTCTATATACAATAAAAACCTCATCCACTCTGTGGAACTGTACATTTGTGATTTAAGCTTAGGATCAAAGGGGCGAGTAGTCCAGTTGGACGGTGAGGTGTTTCACTCCGGCCTCGCGGAATATCCGCGCGGCTTGCTCGGTCACGTACCTCGGGTCGACCTCCCGAGCCACTTCTAATTTCAGAGCACCGACGTGAACGTCACTACACAGGGTCCAGAAGTGCGGTTCTTGCACCGCGTGCACGCCCGCTAGCCCCACTACTCGTGTGTACAAATTGGGCAATAACCGCTCTATCGAGCTTGGAGTCCGCTGCATTAAAACTCCCGCGGAGTCCCGCACTAGAGGTATCACACTCGCGGCGATGAGCAAAGCGATGGCCATCGAGCAGATGGGGTCCGCTCGCATCCAGCCGAACATTCGCATGAGGATCGCGGATATGATGACGCCGACTGAGCCGAGCGTATCTGCGAGCACGTGTAGGAAGACTCCCCGCATGATAGCGGAGCCGGCCCCGGTGGGCGCCTCGGGGTCGTCGTGCGAGTGGCCGTGGCCGTGGTTGTTGTGCGAGTGGCCGTGGTCGCCGCCGTGCGAGTGGCCGTGGCCATGCCCGTGGCCGTGGTGGAACGCGTATATGCCCACCATGTTCACGAGGAAGCCGAGGATCGACACGAGGAGCAGACGCTCGTGTTTTACCTGGAATTGGAAATTAATATGCTTGTAAAGTTTTATTGCAATAGGCTAATAAAAACATTAAAATCGTATCACATTATAGGCTCAGTAACATGATAAAGTGTTCTTAACTATTACCTAAAAAATAAATAAATAAATCTTTGGGCAATTTCACACAGCGCCAGCTAGCCCCAAAATAAGCAACTTAATGCTTGTGTTATGGGTGCTAGCTTAACGGATATACTACTTATATACTTTTTTTTTAAATACATACATATTATACATAGTCACACTCAGACCAGTCACAGAAATTAAAATTCATCATTTCAATTTCTGCCCGGCCGGGAATCGAACTCGGGACCTCTCGGCATAGTAGTCCGTTCTGAACCACTACACCAAACGGCCGAGAAGAAAAAAAAAGTCTGAATCATCATCGATGAAGATGATAGCTCTTTAAAAAAATACTTAAACACATTTTATAAAGTAACTTTTCCTCATCGAGACTAGGATTGGTCATCAATGAAACTACTATCTCAAAATCAATACTGTGTCGCAACTTGACGCTTATTTTGTTAACAAAGGCGCCATATAAATTGGAAAAACGAAATACGTGCCAACCGAACTAGCATTTGTGCAATGAAGTTTCAACATTGTTATAGACGCCATAATGTTGAAATTCCTAATCACCCCATTAAGAGTTGAAAGTTATGTTTCGTAATCTAGGTAATATAATTTGAAATGCGTATGCACAGATTTGCGTATGCGATTTTTGAATAATTTTATATTCCTTATCTCTGAACTGAAATTATAACACCAAATAAGGGCCTCTACTAAAATTTGCTTTGACCGCCGCGACGCGTTCACATACCCTTGTTGGACGTACGGCGCCCGCGCAAGTTTTAGTAGAAGCCCTAAGTATGTATTAAATTGTCAAGTAAATGCCGTGGTAGTTTACGTGCGTAAATAAATAAATTGTTATTCACGTAGAAGACTTGTCCATGGTTTAAGGTTCAATTCTCAAACGCAAGCAAATAGTAGTTTATCATGAAACCAAAGATGACTGGCAGACTTCAGAATTATTATGTGCTTTATCAGTATAAGATAAGTATTGTTTTACAAACTATGTCCATATCAACATGATGCTAATCTGATGCATGTCTCAAAGCTATATGCCTGTTAGGTTTAATTAGATAAGACATGTTATCAGTATTAGTTGCATTTATGTACACATTACAAATTTTCATTCAAGTAAATGTTTGAAATTACACATCAACCAATGTGCAATATTTTATGTAAGAATAAGAACACTTTATTCAGCATAATATGTGGGTTAATATGTGAAAATTATAATAAATAAATGACTGGAAAGATCATAATGAAACTAGCATAAATGTATTAACATGAGAGCTATAAAAACACAGTTTCCCAGGAACAAGACAAACTGGGTGTGGACATTTTTAATCTGCATCCCAGAAATGGAATCTGCTTCAATTATTACTAAACTTAGGTTTAAAAAAAGAAGTTCAATATTGAATTTAGAAGTAATGTAATAAAATGTTACCTCAGGGGGTTCTATTGCTCTTTCCACAGCTTCACTCATGATGAAAAATGCAATGAATAACAGGAACAATCCGTTTACGAATCCGGCTAAGACTTCAGCCCTTGCATAGCCGTAGGAAAACCTTTCGTTTGCCCGCCATTTTGAGACCAGAGACGCTGCCAGCCCGGCCACCAGGCCAGTGCAGTCAAAGAACATATGGAATGCATCCGAGATCAGGCCTGAATTAAAAGGGAAAGAAATTAATCATTTTGTTAAAGGAAAACAATTAAAATACTTAGTAATATAACAGACTAAACATTTTCTAAAACCTGAAGTATGAGTTTCATTTGGTATTTTAGTTGGGTGGTCATTTATAGTTTGATGTAGCAATAAATAGAGAGTATCTATGATAAAATGTACAAAGAATTCAAGCTCCATCCCAACTAATCCCAACTAATATTATAAATGCGAAAGTAACTCTGTCTGTCTGTCTGTCTGTTACGCTTTCCCGCTTAAACCTCGCAACCGATTTTGATGAAATTTGGCATAGAGATAGTTTGAGTCCCGGGAAAGAACATAGGATAGTTTTTATCCCGGTTTTTGAAACAGGGACGCGCGCGATAAAGTTTTTCTGTGATAGACAAAATTCCACGCGGGCGAAGCTGCGGGCGGAAAGCTAGTATTTTTTATAAATGCAGAATAACACACCAACACTATACTACAGTAAATCACTGGTGAAGTAATTAAAGGTAACAGTACATTTTTTTTTATTACAACCTTCACTTGACAATCAGCTGATATTCTTAACAATAACTTTACTGTCAAAATAAAAAAATACATACCCAAGCTATTGGTCCAAACACCGTAGAACAGCTCAACAAATGCAAATGATAAATTCAATAGAAGAAACATAAATAAATTCCTTGAATTCTTATCAGAATATATCAACCTGAGCCAGTTTTGAATTTTCTCTCTTATTCCGCCCAAAGTGCCCCGCGGAACTCGAGTATCTTTCTGTGTTAGGGGAAGCATCTTGACCTTATTTTATTTCGGAAGAAGATTCACGTCATTTCAAGCCAAACTGGACTAAATCACAAACAGAAACACTGCATACGTGTACTTATTACCAGGCGGTTCCTAACCTAACCTTCGCGGTATTTAGATAGGAAATAGGTGACTATATGGAATAGAAAGGGCCGACGAAGTTTAAGCCCAATTATCTATTCAAATAAGCCATACTTTAATTAAAGTTTTAACTATAAATCGTAAATAATCGTCGACCCAACTCGAACGACTCGAACGACACAAACTGTCAAAATGTCAAAAAAAAAACTTTTTTAAAATATCATTTACTCAGCTCAGATAATAAATTAATTGCGTGGTTAAAAAAAATATTTTAAAGAAATTTACTAAACTTTCAGTATACATTTTTTTAGATTTATTAAATTATATTAATTATTTTTTTAATTTTAGAAATATAATTACAAACATTTTTTATTCCTTGTCTTTGATTGTTCTCATTGGCGATTTTATTATAAACGAAACGAACCATGATTGGTCAATAGTTAATTGAGCCAATAGCATTCATGGAATTAGCTACTTGTCAAAACATAGAAAACGCATACTTTATGATGAGTCATAGACATCTTGCTGACACTCGTTTCCGGAAAAGTTTACATTTCTCTCTATGGAATTCATCCGTATTGTCTATATCTCGGAAAAATATTTTTTTCTACTTCAGTTTTCTAGCATAAAATCTTGATTTATTGCTAATATTTTTGTAAATCATGGTTTGTGATGATCTTATCAATGAAAAGTAATTAATTTAAAAAAATATTACATTCATAAAATTTCTCCCGCCAATTTTTTAAATACATTCCACCGGAAATTTGTCTATAGATGCGTTTGTTTCCGAAAAGTGAACGTTTCACGAGTCAACAGCAACGTCTTTCGAGAAGTTCTAGGCGCTGTTTGCGACATTTTTCATTCTTTTATCCGTCATCCAATGTTTAATGTGATGAAATAACACGTCGGTTAGCGTATATTTACGATATTAGTGTTCATAGTCGTAATTAAGTAATCGCTAGATTACTCTGTAAGCTAATATGGGCGACGAAAGCCACCCGAAAACTCTCTACGTCGGTAATTTAGACGCGAGTGTGACAGAAGAATTCCTATGCGCGTTATTTGGACAAATTGGCGAGGTAAAAGGCTGTAAGATAATCCGTGAGCCTGGTAATGATCCATATGCGTTTCTCGAGTTCACAAATCACTCGGCGGCGGCTACGGCCCTGGCCGCCATGAACAAGCGAGTGTTTCTCGACAAGGAAATGAAGGTTAACTGGGCTACGAGTCCTGGCAATCAGCCGAAGACGGACACTAGCAATCATCACCACATATTCGTTGGGGATTTGTCACCAGAAATTGAGACTCACATTCTGCGAGAGGCTTTCGCTCCATTTGGTGAGATATCAAACTGCCGGATAGTTCGCGACCCACAAACGCTCAAATCTAAGGGGTATGCTTTTGTATCATTCGTGAAAAAGGCCGACGCTGAGGCGGCTATTCAGGCCATGAACGGTCAATGGTTGGGTTCGCGCTCCATACGCACGAATTGGTCGACTCGCAAACCGCCTACCAACAGACCTAACGAAGGTGCGCCCAGCAGCAAGCGAGCCAAACAGCCAACTTTTGATGAAGTGTATAACCAGAGTTCACCAACGAACACGACTGTCTACTGTGGAGGATTCACTAGTAACGTAATAACAGAGGAATTAATGCAGAACACATTCTCTCAGTTTGGTCAGATACAAGATATCAGGGTGTTCAGGGATAAAGGCTACGCGTTTATTAGGTTTACAACAAAAGAGGCCGCTGCGCATGCAATCGAAGCCACTCATAATACAGAAATTAGCGGACACACAGTGAAGTGCTTCTGGGGGAAAGAGAATGGTGGCGGTGATAATCAGGTGGGTATTTTGATAACAATTTTGTTTTCAGGTACGATTTATTTTATGTTGACATGAGAAAATTACAGGTTTATGTTTACTAACAAGAACCTTGAAGTAGTAAGTATGCTAACCGATTTCATTAGTTTATAAAATTGATGCGATTGCAACGTTTGTTTTTATTTTATTTAAAGTATTTTCATGAATTTGGAATTTAGGCATATAATGATTTATTGACATTATGTAGTGTACTTTAAAGTTAACCATGAAGGTGTAATTTGGATTCCAAATATTTAAAACAATTAATAACAATAGGACTGTTTTATGTTTACAATAAAAAATAAAACAGTACCATTTTGCAATAAAACAGGGATCAAATATTTCCAATCCTCAAACAGCAAGATACTTAGCACTTCATAATTATAGTTGACGTAATTTAATGTCTTTGCAAAATTATCTTATAATTTGCATTTATTATGCTTGCATAGTAATCATAAGTTTTTAAACTGTTCCAATTGATAAACTTTTAATTATTTATTATTACAGAGTACGAACAGTGCGCCACCTGCACCGACAACTATTGGAGCACAAACACAGTATCCATATCCATACCAGCAAGGCATGGGGTATTGGTATGCCCAGGTAAATATTATGACCAATCTTTGATACTTAAAATAGGTAAACATTCACTAGAACTGCATGCCTATACGCTATTCATAAAGGTTGTTTTAAAACATGAATATTACTGGGAAAATACGAGAGTAGTTTTTTTTAGTTATGTTATATTAATTTACAAATACAATGTTATTATCATTATTATGTGAGTATTATTGCACAGACATCAATTTTAAACGTGAGAGGAAGACAGATAAATTACCAATAATAGGTATACATGTAATCAGCTGTTGTTACATGCCAATCAATTTAAAAAACATAGCTAAGGAAATAAGACGTCTTTTTTGCTATTATCTATTGATGTAAAGGTTACTCGTATTTTAATTTGTTAGTAGCTCGCTAACAACCCATTGCTTATCTTATCAGTAGGTGCAAACAGCTGAATCTAATGTGCTTTATTTATTATTATTAGCTCATTATGATAAAAAAAATTTATCCTTAACATATTGTGGTGGGGATAAAGGAAACAATATAAATAATTATAATTGTCATTTTCATCCTTAAAGTGACAATGCAATTCAACCACATTTGATATAAAATGTTACCTACAATATGTAATTCAATTTATAGTCAATAATTAAGCTTCTCTAATGCAAAATAGGCTATGATGAATTTATTTAACAGGAATTCGTGTGTCGTTAAAACAAATAAATTGATAAGTCGTGTTTACAAATGCATGATGGCACTATTGCCGTGACGTCATTGAGAACAATGAATGGCCGCCGGTCGCGGCTGATTACCGCTCAGTTTCTATTTCATTCTGAATTAAGACGGTAGAAAGTTGCCAGTAGGAATGCCAGAAATCCACCGCACAGAATGGCAGATTTCTTAAATAATAACGAATAATTTTACATCTTTTATACACTGTGGTGCATGTAGCAATTCGTCTCTTTGTGCGTCAATCAACTCTACTCTTACGCATACGTATTGGCGCGTGAGTGGGCATAACAATACAGTTTAACTCTTAAAATTCAGAAATAAATACGCTAAGAAGCACGTGATGAAATTGACAATCGTACATTAACAAACAAAACTTAATCAGCAATCAACTAACTACTATGTAATAGTATTGTTCGTCATTGTTTTGTCTACATATTGCAATGTTTCTGGATAATGTTTACAGACACTAACACTTGTTACTTAATGTTTTATTTATGTTTGACAAATGTTTAAATTATTTTCTAATTTAATTTCATTATTTCTATTTAACAGAGTTCATTATTATGAGTGTTATAGTAGCATGAGCCTTGTATTGTCATATAGGTAATTATCATAATAGTGGAAGGTTAAAGTGTTAAACAACTTTAATTTTCTCATTGCTGTGGTATTGTTATATTTTTGTGAGTTAACAGAATTAATGAATATTCAATATTGAGGCAGATTTTCCATTTGAATTGTAATCAAAAAAGTTTCTTTTAAACAAATTATGGCATGTGACAACACCAATAACTTAGTCTTTCAATACAAAGTGAAATAACGTTCATTTGATAGCCTAACCTAAATGGTGTCCACTCAGCTGAGATCATCCCTACCCTACTCACTGTGGGTCAATATTTTATTTTAATTGCAATAAAACTTGTTTTCAATGGACCAGTACGAATGATAAAAGTTATTTGGTTACAGAAAAATTGGCCCTTTATTATCTAGTTCGACTTTTTCAGAATAGTCTGAAGAGCAGATCAGATTAAAGCCTAAACTGCTCTTTTTATTAGGACAATAACATTAGCGAGACTTTTGCACGTTTCGCACACGTTTCAAAACGTCAGCTAATTTTGTGCAGTGCCCTTAAGACATATCTCTTCAGTAACACAAGACGATTGTAACGGAATTTAACGGATGTTAGATTTTTTCCCGACATGCGTATGCGCACCCCTGTTCTTTTTTTTATTTTTGGCAATGACTTGGTTTTGGGAACCATGATATTGCCAAAGTCACGTGAACAGTTTGATAAAGTTACAGGGATTTAAATTGAGAAATTTTCGAAAGAAACGCTTCATCTGTGACGCGTCACATTCTCAGATTTTGCAATGGTTATGGAACCCTATTGTTATAATTTTATAATATTAGAGCCCATAATATCGTAACGTTTGTGTGTCTTTGCAGGGCTACCCCGCGATACAAGGCTACATGGCCCCAGGGTACTATCAGCAGTATGCAGCCGCCTATAGCAACCCTCAAGCTGCCGCAGCAGGTGAGAACCCAACCAATCTCTCAATCTAGCAGATTTATCGTTATTTTTATCTATCCACGAATCACTCTAGTTTGAGATAGGAACTGGAATAAAATATATTACGCAGCGCTAACATCCTTTATCTTGTAGGATTAATCTTGGAAAGATAGACGATTAATTTTAGCCATAAGTGATTTATGCACTTAGCCTAGGACTAAGTCCTTTGCCAAAAGTTATAAACAAACTCATTAACATTGGACCGAATAACATGTCAGTATCGCGATTATCCAGCTACAATCCGTCAATTTGTAGACCTTATTACCCCATTTTAATAAATTACAATGGATATTAACATTTAGATAAAATACCTTATGCATTAGACAATGACACACATAATAAAGTTATGAGTAGTTTAACAGACATTAAGATTTGAAACATGTATACTGTACGTACATGCAACAGGCATCCAGAAGTTCATCAAACTTAACATAGGTTTTCCTCCAAAACAAGTTAAGAGACAACTCGTCAGGAAAAATATTCGTGTAATTTTTGACGGCTTTAAGTGTGTCACTTTCTCCATCGCGGGGCAGACTGTTACGCCATAATGTGTTTGGGCACAGCTCGTTCACCATTGATCTCGACCTTGCGACAGGTGGATACAGTTTAATTTACCGTAACAGGTGATTTGAGAATAATAAAGTCCATATCAATCTGACATGTCATAGCAACTTAATTGTAGATAATAAATTCCTGACCTAGAATTTTAGATGAATATGATAGGAATGGAATCTGTTGTGATAATAGGGGTCGGTACAACATAAAAATGGGACCTTCCTTCCTAAACCTTTCATGCCCGTTTTTATCATCTATCCCTAATTTTTAAGTGACCCCTATGGTAACACACAACAGGAATTTTGTTTTTAAAGGGGTCACTTAAAAATTAGGGATTGATGGTGAAAACGGGCATAAATCACACTTGCTATGAAATAGTAGTTGACGGAGTAGGAGCCTACTGCAAGCCTTTATTTCACAGTATTTCCTTATCACAGCTATCTGTAACCTCGTTTTCTACTGTTATCAGGGTACGCTAGTAATGGTTTGTTGTACTTGGCTTTTTTGTAGTAAGTGAATGCATGTGCAAAATAAAGGTCGAGTGAATTAGGCTTTTCTAAAATAACAATTTAGCCTGTTTCTAGTAGCAGCTGGTGTATAGGCTCAAGATGATGTTGAAACAGGCTGGTGGCTGAAGTTTTTTTGTCTAGCTCTAGTTTTGGTTCAGTGGTAATACAATTTTCCCCTTATTCGTATTATCTGCCAATAACGGTAGAATTATCACCGTGACGACATTTTGTAGGTGTCGTGTACCAATTTATTTTTTTATTATTTTTTCTTTGGTGTAGATTCATGCTAGAGTAGTTAAGTTTGTTGAGTTTTTAAAATAATGCGTATGCACATTATCTTACGCCAAATTCATTATTCACCAACTCCTGAGTAGTTCACCTGACTGACCTAAAAAGACGTGTGTTACTGAATGCTGTGATAGCCGTTATTTAACCTTAAGTGTAGGAGCACACCAGATGACACGCCACAGGGACAGCTTAGCTTGTCGTCGAGACTCCGCGACTCTGATGCCAAATGTGCGAAGCTTTAAACAAAATATATGAGACTGTCGTCCCGTCTAGTCACATCGTCTGTCACTGTCGCGTGTCGCCTAGCTAGTGTGCGCCTACGCTAACTGTAAAATTTAGTGTTTTCTTCACAATAATGAGGGTTTTCGCGATTGAAAAATCCGCGCCAGATGGCAATACGTAGATGGGAGGTCCAAATGCTGCATGATTGGTGGATTGTGACATATCTGTCAATGTCATGTCAAAAATAACCAATCATCATGGTCCAAATGCTGCATGATTGGTGGATTGTGACATCTGTCAATGTCATGTCAAAAATAACCAATCATGCAGCATTTGGCTTCCCGTCTACGTATTGCCATCTGGCGGATTTTTCAATCGCGAAAACCCTAATTGCATACATAATGATCTGTCAGCGCCGACGATCAGCGTACGGTCGGCGCGATTCTAAAACCAGCCTTAGGGGCTGTTTCGTTTCAGCCGAAAGACGTCCACTGGTGGACAAAGGCCTCCCCCAAGGATTTCCACAAACTGGTGAAGGTCGCGGGAGGTGTTACTACTATTTCTATTTATTTATATTAACCGGCAGACAGTGGTGACTGAGTTAGTTGCGGCGCTTCTTCTCAGCACTTGCCAAATGTTGGTCTCGAAGCGCTGGTAGGGTAAAAAGATTATGAGACATGTAGAGGCTCCTTAAGAGCAAAATGACGATTTTTAAGAACTATTTATTAGTATAAACCAGTGTTTTTCAACCTTTTTCATGACACGACCCCCCTAGTTAGAAAAAAATTTTGGCGACCCCCCGACCGTTCGCTTTTTTTTCATGCATTTTAAAATGTTGCAAAGATTTTTGTAGAACCGAATACTTCAATCCATATCATTTTTGCATAATTAGATTTCAGATTAATCTGTCTTTATAAGAATTTTTTTTACTGAGGTACATTTTACGACTTCTCACGACCCCCTATAGAGTCTTCGCGACCCCCCAGGAGGTCGCGACCCACAGGTTGAAAAACACTGGTCTAAACAAATAAAGAAATTTTAACTTTGACTTTGAATAAAATCTCTTGTTGCAGCCGGTTACCGCATGAGCATGCCGGGCGGCGCTGGCGCGGGCGGCGGCGCAGCGTGGGGCGGCGCTCCGCCCGTCATGTACGCGTCCGCTATGCCCTCCGCACAGTACCCGTCGCAGTAGCTGCAGCCCTACGCGCCACGCGTCCGCGCCGGCCGGGCCTGACTGACGTTGCACGCTTCCTTGGACGTACGTGATCGGTGTAGACGGGGGTTTTAATCGCATGGGTATTGTTATGGAGCGTTTTTCAAAAAGGCTTTGTAAGAGTGCATACGGAATCTATGGTCAACTCGTTCGTATAGATCACGTGATCGGTGTTGACGGGGGTTTTTGGCGCGAAAATCGCGTGGGTGTTCTTATGGAGCAATCTTTAAAAACTCTTCATAAAAATACACAAGTAATCTATGGTCAGCGTATTGGTATAGATCACGTGGGTATTCATATGGAGCGTTCTTTAGAAAGGCTTCATAAGAGTGCATACGTAATCCATAATCAAGATGACTTATGTATTCCTGTGAAACCATCTTTTGAAAAGCTTCATAAAAATACGCATGTAATCTATGGTCGACACTTTCGTATAGGTTATGTGGGTATTTTTATGGAGCTATTTTCAAAAAGGCTTCGTAAGAGTGCATACGTGATCTATGGTCAACGTGCTCGCATGGATTGCGTATGCATTCGTTTGAAACGTTCTTCAAAAAGGCTCCGTAAAAATACACATGTGATTTATAATCGTGACACAAAAACCCGTCTCAAAAACCTACTACTTTTCGGCTCTATCTATCTCGCTCGCTCCAGTCGAAATGTCAGTACGAATGACAAGGGCAGATAACGACTAAGATACGGAGTAGCAGGGCTAGCCCCTCCCAGTTTCCGTATTTTCTGATCTATTCAACCCTGACGCAGTATGGCCATGTTAATACCTACCTCTATCCAATTGACTGTACTAGAGATAGATATTTGACTTTTCGAAGACAGACGGGATATTAATTTTGGTCGTGAATGAGTGAATAGTCCAGAATAGTCTGAAACACTGCTCCCGCCTTGTTACTCCGTATTTTACGCCCCTCTACCCCTTTCACTCGTGCCTTCGTTTCGACAGGAGACGGATGGAGTCGAAAATACGGTGTAGACCCCCTGTAGAAAATGTGACTTCGCTCCGACTCGAAAACGCTCCCAGTCAAGTTAAATATTTATTATTGTTATACAGTTACAGTTTTTATATGGTGCATTTTAGTATACAGTTCATTAAAAATAGATGGAAATGCCCGATTTTTTTAAATTCTAATTTTTCTTGACAGTCCTGCTTTTATCATACAGGGTGACTGGTTGAACAAGGAACATTTTTATACAAGATATTGAGTTCCTTGCACAATTGGTGGTCCTGTATAACTTGTTTTTTGAAAACTCAAATGAAAAAGTGTACCTACTCCATCTAAAATTTACAATAAATGTTGATGTTGAATTATGGAGCAGCTGATTTCTTTCTGGAGCTTGTTAACAGTAGCCGATTACGTACTTCCAAGGAAATATACAATTTCATATTCACTCATACAGGGTGGAGACAACTTAGTGTTTTGCCTGATTTCTAAACACTGAGCTTTGTTTGTAGAAAAAAGGCATAATGTTGATTGCTACTGTTAGTTAGCGGAGTGTATAGCAGAGCTACACTTTCCGATGTATTGTGATCAGCCAGTTACGCCTATTCTGCTACTAAGAACTGAGTGTTAAGAAGTCGCGTAAAAGTAATGTTTTTTTTACTATGACAATCAAGTTTTACTACAGGACCAGCATTGAAACAACTTGCTACCCTAATACATAAGGTCAAGATGTTAGTTTTATAAACGGCAAAGTATCAATGTTGGTGTTCTAGTCAAAGTTGTTGTTGACAGTACATTACGGTTGTAAATCGTTTGTGTCCACCCTGTATTGCTCGAATGTGCGAATCGCGAGGTTTTCCTTACTTAGTTATTCGATTGAGAGGATTTAGGAAATTTAACCGGCAGAATTGCATTCCTAGTTCTAAAAAAATATTAAGTGCCTTATCAGTTAATTGAGTATTGAATTTTGTGATAGCCACTGCGTTTGGTTGTTAAATATTTGATTATGCAAACAGAGCTGCATGAAATTTGATTGCTAACTGAAAAGCTATTTGATGGGTTTTATGGAAACAGGAGTCGACTCTCGATTTTTGTGAGCACTCTAATGGTTGGTCTTCCTATGTCTTATCTTTTCGAATGATGATTGCTTTTCTTTAGCACATTTGCAAGACGAGTGCACGACTGCCCGTTCGTCTTGCAAATCGCATAGAATCGCTCGGGATTCGCACATTTCGAGTAGACGCGACTGCGATAATTTTGGGTTGTGGCTAAAGTGCTGTTATAGCTTACAATCTCCCAACTCTCATTTATCGTAGTCGACACCGCCTACTGCACTCGATCGCGCACACAACACACACACAAAATTATATTCGGAACCCATAATTATCATGAGACTCAAACACAGGATCGCTCCTTAATATGTATTTTAGTTCCCGATAGATTTTAGATATCAAAATATGTATTATGGAAACCATGCGTAACTAATACGCAGTTATGTTCCTAGAACGTATATTTCGGAGACCAAGTGGGTAGTTACAAATAATTGTTACTGCATTATAAGACTGTACGGAGCAATAATATGTGTCACTTAGTAACTAGATTTGTCATGAAAACAGTGGTACCTCTGTAATATTACGGAATCAATTCCTGCCATTTCACGATGACCATGTATTTTCGAAATTTGTTAAAGCTATTTGAGTCTCATAATAATGGAATTCTCAGTCACGATCCGTGGAATCAATTTGTAAATTGTATAGTTTGACAATATTATGCTGATACATCGAACCTCGCGGCCTCTCCCGCGAGTTAGTTCTTTTAGGGGCGCGGGGGAGGTCGTCCTGACTAGACTTTTCTTTTCCGTGTATGTAAAAACATTAACAACTGTAGATCTCCTCATTGTTTTCAAAGACTTCTGGTAATATTGTCAAGCGTGTACCCAAATTGTTAGACCGTACATATCTCCAAGCTACATCGAAGACGGCAGAGTGCCGGCATTGTTGCGCAGGAGTGGTGCGCGGGCACGTGCGCCCGCGACTCGCGCTGGTGACGTCACACGACTCCCCGGCGTTGTTAGTCGACCTACATAGATAGGACATAACGAAATAAATTATAAATTTTTAAAAAAGTTATAAATATATAAGGGGAGTAGTGTCGCGAGTGGCCTCGTGTACATACGTTGATATTTATTGGCGCCCTGCGCTGGCAGACTGAGATATCCCAGGACTACTCAAAAGACGCGCCAGTAAGTTTGACATATTTATAATTATTAAGTTCGGCACATGTTGTTTTGTTTGACCTTGTTATGATTTTGTATGGAAACACTGGTAAGTCAATAAAGCAGTGGGTCTGGGAAAAGATGTTTGATTTACCGTTTATATAGCGTTTACTGTATTATGTTTATTTCTGGGTCCAAAAGTTTTTATACGAGCCGACCTGACGGTCCACCTCTGTGATCGGAGTCAGCACAATATACATTCAGATGAAGAGAAATTATTGTAAATTCGTAATTAAAAAGGTCATTTTGTAAAAGGAAAATAAATAGTTTAAGTTTACTATAACTTTTGATTGTTGTATTTATTAATTAGCTACTATTCCGTTACGGTAGAACCCAAGTTAATCAGCTTATCAACATTAAACGTAACTAATCGTTTAATTGAAAAATGAAAAGGAACATTGGTTACCATGCTATTATATACTCCACTCCACACTATTGGTAGATAGCTTCAACAGGATGTTTTTCGCTCATATACTCATTACGCCATTGACGTCCGAACCATTTCCGAATGTAAATAGACATTTCATAAATTAATGCTCTAGCGATGTCTACAGTACGAGAAACGTATAATTACAACCGTTTGCTGATGTTACCTTTAGGGAAAACATTACCTACTGAGGAATTATTCAATTTTGCCACCGGATACCTATGTCCCCACTCCCTTTCGTTCCATCCTCATTCAGTGTTCAATTTTGAAAAACAATTTATATCATTGATACCTCACACCCACACAAAGCACCGTCTATTCCCCTCGCTGAATGGCAGATGACAAACTAAATAAACTAAAGGCGCGCGTGCACGGGGAAGACTTGTCGCCGTGACCGTGACAGTACCTATTATCCGTGATAGTATAAGTTTTAACTATTTCTTACGCCTTTATAAAGAGGAAAAGAGAGATGCCTGTCACGGTGAAGTCACCAGTGCGCGCGCGCCGTAATAGCAGCGAGTTATTTACGTACTTGTAAATTACACAATAAGTGAAACAATCGAAAAATATAAAATAAAACATTAGGAAATCACATTTTATAAAATAAATAGCATAGCAAATACGTGCACACTGAAGGACTTCACTTAAATAAATACTTGACAGCTTAGTAGGTACACACTACACAACAAGTGATTTACAGGATTCTACAGCTGAACCTGAATGAAAATGTTTACTGGATTTTGGGAAATGCAAAAGAAAGTTCTCACCTGAAACTGAAGGAACTTCAAGAATCGGTAAGTACCTACCTATTTTTTACTTGTACACGTTCTTATCTTGCCCTACCACAAGATACACATCAGTTTGTTGCCGAAAATAAATTAATGGCGAAAGAAACACTGACTTTTGTCACCAATGCTGTTATTTCCCCAGCAAACCGCGCTAGCTAGCTTTTCTTTCCTTTGGTGGATTTGTTTGTGTCACAGACGTGACTGATATTGTGTGACGACAATAAACGAAAAAACAATCTGCCAAGAGGGAGTTGAACTACACAGCAAGGGTTCCGTGCCGTATCATCTTCAACCACTTTCAATTTTTAAAATAAGTAGAACTTTGAAAGCCTCTCTTTGATAAATTAATATGGTCTATTTGGTAGCCTTTGGGTTGGGACTTGGGAACCCTACTTCACTTCGGCAGCGTAACTACAAGTACCTATATTGGAATTACGCAAATAAAGAAATTTGATTTGATTTGATTACCTACCTAACTACAATAAGTAAAAGTCAAATATTGTATTTTCTCCTCACCTAATCGATGGTTCATCATTTCATTTTCCTGCTGATTCAAAATGATTTCCGACCACTCCACATAGCAGAACAAAAACAAACAAAAGCAATGCAACTCCCACATTAATTTCAACCCACGAAAGTCTTCTATGACGCTCGAGGGTTACGAATTATTTATATTACCTATCTTACAATAACGGAATGAGTCAACGAGCAAGGTGGGACAAATTCCACGGCTCAGTTATTTTAAACAGTCCCTTGATATTTTATTATGCTTGCACTGATTTTTTTCAGTATGATTATCCTTAACCCACTTCAGACACATCGTACAACGCATTTTATAATTCTATGTAAATGTAAAAGATGAGAGGGAGTGACGTGAAAATTGCAATGACAGTGATCTAAAAATAAGGTCGCCGGCGACGCGGCTCCGAGCGCGCCTTCACGCAGTCGAGATCTGACCGTCGCGAGTTTCAGTCGAACGAAAGTAAAACAAAGTTGCAGCCATGGTGTACGAGAGTGACTTCTACACGACCCGCCGCCCCTACACGCGGACCAGTTACAGCGTGACGGTGAGTCCCGCCGCCGCCCTCTAACCCTCTGAGCTCGCTCCTCCCCCCGGGAGCCGGACGCCCCTCGCACCAGCTCGACCCTCGCTCGCGTCCTTCGACAGCCGTCGTTCGCACATTACGTAGTGACCTTACAGTGCTCGTTCAGTGCCAAACCCCGGAGCGGTATGAATGTGCTATCTCCACTCGTTGTCTTCTCAAGTGTCAACAACTTGACTTTTAAATCCCGCTTGTAAACATCATTGCTTTCATAAGTTTTTTAAGTCTTCCCGAAACGGACTTCTGCCCGTTTTGGCGACTCATCCTCAGTCGTGGTAGCGTTCCGCAAGTGGGTCATTTCGCATCGAGAAACGGAGTATGAAAGCGGAGCTACCGAGCGCGCCAAATATAGCCGCGGCTGGAGTCGCGCTCGCCCGACTAACGGCGACTTCTCCGCTTGCAGCGGCCCGGCGACTGGGAGAAGGTGCCGTTCGTGCCGCGGCCGAGCCTCGTGCCGGATCCGGTGACGGCGTTCGGGCGCCGCAGCAAGCCCGGCACGCGCGCGAGCGTGCTGGAGCCGGTCACTAAGCAGAACATCCCGCCGAAGCCGGAGTCGAAGCTGGCGCCGCTCGCGCCCTACGTGTCGCCGCGGGAGCGCACGCGCGAGCGGGTGCTGGCCTCCATCGGGCAGCGCGAGCGCTCCTACGCCGCCGACCCGCTGGGGACGCCGCGCGACCACATGGACGTGGTGCTGGCGCAGGCGCACGGCCGCCCGGAGCACTCCTCGCGCCGGCACGTCTTTTACAGCAACTACGCGACCTACTGATCGGTCCAGGTCGTCTCTTTCGTGTGTCGCTTTCGCTAGTTAGCTAGTCGGTCGGGTTGGTGCGAGGGAGAGTGAGGGAAGGTCGGTGGTCGCTAAGGGCGCGGTTGTTGCAGACGCCGCGGCACTACGTGGTGGTGGACCGCGAGCCGCTGCCGCGCCGCGCGGAGGAGCAGTACTCGTACTCGTACTCGAGCACGTCGGAGCGCTCGGGCGCGGGGCTGCCGTCGCGCAGCTCGTACAGCAACACGGTGGAGCGGCGCACCGGCAGCGGGCCCGGCGGCTACTCGTACTCCAGCGAGCGCTCCAGCAGCCTGGGCGGCCCCGGCGGCTACTCCTACTCGTCCACGAGCAGCGGCCGCCTGCCCTACGGCACCACCTACCGCCACTACTCTTACCGCGTGTAGCGCCCCGGCTCCGTCCCGACCCCTCCTCCCTCGCTCCCTAACTCCCCACGCGTCCTGCAGCCCCCATTTGTAACTACCTAATCAGTATTCGCTATCGATCGCTCTACTTTGAATGAGAAGTGGACGTGAATCTCGATTCGTTACGAGCTTTTTGATGTTCTTTTTAGTTTATAATTTTTGTATTTATTAAAATGTGATTTAGACTGAATTTTTAATAAAGCTTGCGTTTTCTAATATTCTCTATTTTCCTTTGTGTCTTACGTCTTACCCCTGTTCTGATCACAGATCGATGATGGACTCGATCTTGTTTACTAACATGTTTGTGACCTCTATGTCAGTTTTTTACTGTTTTCTATTCTATTTTATAATTAAATTCAAACAAATTAAATTATTGTTATTGCTGCACTTTACAGCAAGTAGGTACTCATAATTTCAGTGAGTACACGACTTACAAGAGCAGTAACTCAACAAAAATAAACAAATCACGAAAATAGCAACCGGGTGTTTATCCCGCTCTCACTATGACTTCATCGGGGTCCGTTGTTTTTTCAGGGTTAGTTGATGATAGAGATAGACATTGCAGCAATAGAAAAGCGATTGGCACAGTATTATTACCACTATGGTATGAGTGATTCAATCGTGCTAATGTCTAAGTTTTTCACAGAGTCGGGAAACTCAAATGAAAACTATAAACTACTAAGTTTTAATTATGCCAGAATTAAACAGTAATGGGAATCAAAGCTGACAATTAATCCAATTTGTTTACTAAGGCAATGCATTACAAAGTAGGTACAAAATCTGACAGAAAATCTATCTGTTGCATGATGAAGTGTAGCAATATAAATGTGGGCAATCAGTAGCACAGCCTCAACATAGGTAGACGGGAAAACTTATGAGATGTTTCAGATCACCATCCAGAACTCAATACTTTATTGAATTTCTTTGAAATCTAACTCTACCTTAGTTCAATTTATTGTTTAGGTAGTACCTACTTAGATTTTTTTTGTAACTCGGAAGCGTGATCTGAATCGCTGAAAGGTTTTACCAATTCGTTGAGAGAGATACCTTTGATCAACAAAACACATCCTTCTACTTAAATTGAAGAAATGTAAAGGCATAAAATTGTCCGTAACCTAAAATCGAATGGAGTATAAAGAACTGCCTGTTTCTATTGTCGGCCGCAGCCGCTGTCGTCGCTCTACTACCTGAGCTCGCTCATGCCGTACTATCACCTGCCCTACGTCTCGTACGTGCCCAGATTATGGGAGGTAAGTATAGCCACTTTCGGAACGAATCACCTCGGAAATGCGCAACAAAAAATTTGATACATTAGAGCAGGTAGGTATTTGGGAAAGTTAGGGAATTCGGAACAACGCCGAGATAACTACTGAATTTTAAGACCATTTTTAGCTTTTGTGCGAATCAGGCAGGAATGCCTGGGTTCTGATCATGACTCCACAACAGTGATAAAGAAGAAAAGTATAATAAAGCAAATACCTACTTAGTCTTACGTCTCCCATTTGGTATTAATTGAGAATGTTCAAAACGACTTAGTTACAACAACTTCAAACATAATAATATACAATTTTACAGGCAGAATATTACCCATTATAGAATGTTGATGACCATGAGATTACGCGTAACGCTCTATCAGAAATTATCATATAATTTAACTGGAAAGTTTGCGCATTTCTGCGGTGAATTCGTCCGTCAAGTTGGCGGAAAATTGTAAAGGAAGTTCGCCATGTAAATTAAATTATCCACGCTGTAAATACACCACGGAGTGATAATCTGCTTACGTGCACCGTAGCAGCCACCCACATCACAGCGGAATGGTGTTTAACACATTTCACCTCATATCTGCACAAGATAACAAACTTCAGTTTTGGAGTCGACACCATAATTTAGGCCCGATTCGACAAAACTTTTATCCGCGAATAACTAATTGACAGTTTCCGTATGGGAAATATGTCAAAATTGACAATTTATTCTGAGATTATTATTTACTCTTGTTTGGTCGAATCCACCCTTAATCGGTAGACACACACCTGAAATGATCACAATCTAAGGAGAGAGAATAGGTAGGTTACTCAAGTCAGGAGCTGAAGGAAGGAAGACTCAAGCACTTAACTCTGATCCAAGACTACTTATAGCATAAAATCTCGATTCTTGATATCAACAGCGCAGAAAACTAGGGCGTTGAGACTTTAGCTGCGATGTGGTCAACATTTTGATAATAAACGATAAAATATTTTAATGCATTATTCAAAATAAATAAATGATCATTAAAATAAATTATTTCAGCAGCAAATTAATTCATTCACACGAATTTTTTACAGGAGGGACAATTCCCGCTAACACCGTAACACCTGAGGAAACCTCGAAGTTGTGCCAAACCTAATTGAAATGCTACGTCTACGATGAACCTGACAAATTGATTGTCTTTGATGTTGGCAAATTATTAAGAGCAAGAGTTATGTTTATTTCATACACTTTCATTTCATATTTACCAAAAGGCAAACATAGGGTTAGTGGCTTAGAGGCGTGCTTCTCAAGTGGAGACCTGTGTGCCTAAGATGCGCACCGTGATAACTTTTATCGACGTCAAAATGTATGGGCAAAATCGATAAAATGGCGTGATAACCGCTTATCACGGCGCGCATCTTAGGCCTACTGATGAAGTGATAATGATGATGTTGACTTATTATTTTTAGGCATAAACATAATTACAATCCATTAACAAACAGATTCAATTAGATATAATTAACGTTTCGTCGAAGGCAAAATCGAATTAAAGTTAGGATCGGTTGAGGGCCTGGGCTGGGTTACAAAAGTTGTTGAATTAAGGAAAACTTGTTTATTTGATCAATGGATTTAATCAGGGGATTTAGGGGCTCTTTTTAACGAGACTTCAAAAGCAGTCAGTTTTATGTAAGTACTTAAGTAGTAACTGTTGATAACTCACTTTCTTCTTCTTCTTTTTTAAGTATTTTGAAAACTTCATGATTATGCGACTATTCTTTTGATGTTGGATTAACATAAATTATCTAATGTTCAAAGAATTTAAAAACTTTCCGTCGTAAATGCATCTCCGTTTCATTTAAAAATGTCTCAGAGAAAATTGACGCACATTTTTGTTGCACTTCGTTTATTTGAAAATATATTTCTTTCGGCAAAGATGTCATTCAGGTCACATTTGGACATCTCTTGAATGTTTAATCTTGCCAAAAATATAAATACTTATCCTTAAGGAAAATTACATTACTTAGGTAGGTAGGTGAAACACCAAATCAGATTTAGGAACGCACGCAGTACGTAGGTAACATAGGAAAAATGCTTTGATAAGGCGCTCAATTTATTTCTCACTCGATATTGATGAAATTTTAGTTGGATAAGAACTTCAGACCAATAGCCGAGAGATTAAAAATATCCCATCCATTAATGTTTCCAATTCATCTTCCCACTTTAAAACCATGAAAGCTATTTATCAAAAACATTGACCGGCCGGACGTTTAGTTAGATAGATCCCATGAGAAAACAAAGGCAGGACTGGAACCAGATCAAGGTAAGTGGGAATTTTGGCAACGGCCCTAAGGCCACTTCAGTAGCAACGCCCCTACCATTTAGTGAAAACACTATGCCTACGTCTATTTTCGTGGATGATAATTTGTGTGAAGCAGTTTCCATGGAACGTTGAGTTTATTATCGCCGAACTGAACATTAGGCAACTGCGCAATGGAAAGCAAATTACGAAAATATGGCGTGAATGGAATCAGAAATTTGATATGGCAGATGTTAGTAAAACTCTGCCAAGAATTGCTTGAGCTTTTCTAATTACTCCGAACGACAATTATGTCTGGCAACGGCTTGATACATGTTCAACGAGTTTAGCTAGTATTTCATAGGTTTCTGGTAGCTGACTAGCGTAAATAAACAGACTTCACATTCTGAACATTCATTAGGGAATAGCGGAACTAATCAAATTCATCGATGCGCAGATAAATATCCATCCCAGTGAAAGTTTAATGTTATGAACGCGAATTGTTTGGCAATAAGAGAATTCCGAACGTAATCATTTAGCGATTACAGCATTTCGCGTCCGCCGGCCAGTCTAATTTTACTCCACACTCCCGATGATTCACACCGCCATTGATATGCGCAATAAGGTCCCACAGGTTCAGAAATAACGTTACGATCATCGTGGCATTTAACAAACAACTTGCCCGAACTTTTCCAGAAGGATTCAAGACTCAAGCGTACCGAATGCGTAAATTAAACATTATCATTTCAGCATGTTTATCTTTTCACTATCCACAACACATTTCATGACATGACATGATGCTTATTTATACTCTTTTCAGCTCAAAAAAATATCTGATTCATTTCGAAGAGCAGCATGATGTTTTATTTTTAAGTATATTCTTTTAAAACTCAGTTTTTATCGCTTTATTGGCATGGCTCAATGCTTTTCGCAACTTCTTTCTTGAGGCGACAAGAAGACAGGTTATTTTCGCAGCATGTGATTTTATATTTCCTAAAACTGAATCAAATAATCTAACTAAACAGATGATGATAAATTGAATCAATGTTAAAGAAAGAACTATTATGATGGATGTTAAGAACATAATAAGTTTTCTATACATTTTCTGAATCTGGTAGTTTATGAGCAGAGTTGCTTAGTAACGATATTTTTATCCAGATTCTGTCTTGTTTCCATTTAAGATGTTCTGCCAAGAAGGTACCAATACCACTCAAGATAGTCGTCACGCTTCTGCCGCTTCGCTCCAACTTTCCACTTACTCCACCTAACCCCATCAAATGGCATTCCAGGACGAGCTGGTATACCGGCCAGCGACTCGCACAGTCACTCGACTCGTCACATACCCGGAGGCTCCCCATCACATCGTGCGAGTGCGCGTGCGCCCGTCCGTAGTGCTCCGTGAGCTGGACCGCATCGCGTACCGCCGACGCCCCCACCTGGCCGTGTCTGCCGTCGACGACTTCTTCAGATCTGAGACCACTAAGGTAACATCTGTTCTATCTTCTGTAGACAGATACTTATTGGGGAATGTTAAATTGTTCCATCTGCTATAGCTTCAAAGTATGATATAAGGCAGTTAATTGGGACATTTCAGTTCAGATTTGAAAACACTAGGGTAACATCTTTGCACTCAACATTCTGCCAAATGTTTAGTTGAAACAATAAAATCAATGGTCAATAGCACTGGTCATAATTTTAAATGTTGGCAGAGAATGCCGCATAGCATTAAATGGAGTTCTGTGATTACGTCTGAAGAATGAATCATAGGTTCTACTGGTTTCCATCTATTTCATGTTGGATCTGGGTTTAAGATCGATGCGTAGTCATGGGGAGGTTATGAAAGCCCTCTCTCTACTCTACATCTGTAGAGATCATTTTAAAGTTACTTCCACCTAAAAGATGATTTCTCGTGATTTCTAGGCCTTCGAAGATGAAAGCCGTCGCATCCGCGCAGACACCGCCGCCCTCCTGTCGCGCGCTCGTTCCGTCGTGCCCCGCGCCAAGACCCTAGCTCCCCTCGATACAATATACTCGTAAGTATAACGTTTTCTCCTTTTTATATTACACCAGTTCACGCTAAAAATTACATGATACGTTGCGATTCCGGGACTAGCCCAACTTCTTTCTTCTTCTTTGATACATTCAGTGCAGTCCTTATTGATTTCTTCCAGCATTGCTCCTGCTTCTTGTCGATAAATAGTTGTAAAATGCGGTCTGGCTGTAATTTTCTGAATGTGTTTTGTTAATATCCGCATTTGTTTTGTAACCAACCTGTACGGGACCTTTGTCTAAACGCCCAAAACGTTACCACTTATCCGATAAAATTGATCTGCTGTGCGTGGATTGGATAGGTCTCGCTCATTGACACACCTGTCGTTAGGCCTAGGTCAAGTTTTTCTCGGCTTGATGTAACAGCACGAAAATAGCCCATTGATACATCTATCACGGTTACTGGCACTGACATTGACGACATTGTACGGTCTACATCACATTCATCTTACATCATTTGGCAGAGACCAGACGCCCACTAACTGAGGAACAAAAACTGTTCCTCCTCCTTCCGTCTTGGGCAAACAGAACTTTCTAGAGTAATTAAAGGACATTCCTTTGGCTAGGATATTTTCAACGTGGGTGTTGAAGTTGATTTCCCAGCCAAATATCGTTCTCGCGCGTTTTGTGTGTGACGACGTAGCGTACCCGTACCGATCACGCATTTAATAATAGACTGGTTAAATGCCAGCTGATGTTTGCTGTCTGGTGTTCTAATAAAATGTTTTACGGTATATTTTCATTTGCAACCTTGGTTTTTGGTGTTTATGAAGCTAATTAAGAGAACGCGATAACTTCCGTTATTACATGCTCGTTTAATATGATCTTTGCGTAGAAAATACTTGACGCATGAAAAAATCTTTTGTATTTTAGAAGCTACTATCACTCGGACCCGGTGGCATATCCGTACCGCTTCAGCAATGACGCGTACATCGCCAAGCTGCTGCTGCCTCTGCGCAGCGTCTCCGACAACATCCACAACATCTCTTTCTACAGTGAGCCCGCCAAGAAGTTCACCGGTATGTATCGAACATATCCGACTCAGACACGACACGACCCCGACTGAAGTGTTCCACTGGCCGGAAGGTACTTACAAATTAACTCGACTTCCACCTTCCTTAATTGTGACGTTCTTTGCCCTTCCGACTAACTGTCGAGTTGTTGTAGCGTGACCCCGTGGTAACATTGAGGTGTTTTCGCCAGGACGCGGTCACCTCGCGTGCGTGCACTACTCCGGTAAAAAGGCCTTCTCCAATCGATTGCCTCTCTACAAGGAAATGAGCATCAGGGACGACGTAAACCTGCTCTCGTTCTATGCGAAGAACAGACTCGCGGCCGCCGGCCTGGCCGTCGAGAGCGCCACAGGTACCTCGTCACAGTCGCACCGCTAGCGCCCGCTTACAAACCTTCGCTTAATTCTGTTAAAAGGAGAAGTAAAACGAGATTAAACGATGGCTCATTGACTCCGGTGATGCTGGAGTATAAAGCAAATTTAAAATGGCGTATAAAGTCCGTGTCTAACACTGTGTGTGGTGTCTCTTGCAGCGGGCAGCGCGCCGGAACAGCCGACGGCGGCGCAGTGCGCGTAGGCCCCCGCTGGGCTGCGGCGCGGCGCGGGCGCCGGCTCTCCTGCGCCCGCGCCGCGTTCGCCCTTCGCGCTCTCTGATCTCGGTATAACGCTCCGACTAACCAAGATCATATATATTTTTATATTCTTATTGTCAAGACTATCATATTTTGTTATCCATTTTTTACAACGACTTTCAACGAACGATTTAATATAATTATTATTTTCTAGTCATCGCTGTGATAGCGCGATGTTGCGCGCGAAATTTGTCGGTGACCGAGACGTCTCGTTTTCACTTAACAGAACTGATTTTATTTAACATTAAACGATTTATACCAAACTGTTAGTTGTTTTAATTTGCATGATAGTTGGTCCTATATCACGCTTTGAATATCCATACGCTTACGATAACGCTTCGCTTTTATGACTAAAAAGATATTTAATTAACTCCCATAACACACAAATACACGATTACCTAAGTATACCTATTTTCTACACAATTAAATGAAGATAATATCAGCATTATCTTAAGGATGATACAAGTATAAATATATTTATTAATCGTATTGTATTCATACGACAGTTAAATGGAAATGCTTTGATGTTTTATCACTCTACATTAATACACGATGGAACAACACCCATTCGCATCACAGCATGATCGAGCAGCACAAATCTTCAACACCATAGCGAAACGTCCATCGGTTTAGCTTTGCCATCAGGCTTCAAGGGCTGGGGTCTAACTGCTTGGTGATGAAAGCGTTACGATGACGTGTCAATCGCGCGCTGCTGTGGAGCTTCTGTCAGTATTGGCCATTGGTTGGAATGATTGGCAATTGGGACTGTGTGGGCCAATCGTTTGGGCAATGGTCGTTTGTTTGGTGGGTAACATGGGCCCCGGTGCAGTGAAACTGCTGCCGTGGAGGCCGAGCCGCAAGTTCCAGGCGCCGCAGATAATGGAGGACCCGGCGCTGGAGCTGAAGGCGGCGAAGGCCGACCGCGAGGCTCGCTTCCGCGCCACCACGGCCGAGCCGGTACTGGCACCCGCCGCCGACCTGGCCGAGATCAAGAGGAAGAGGCAAGAGGAAGCGCGCGCCGCTGAAGAAAAGTAAGCAGACAATAGGCTTAAAATAACCCTCAATCCTAGAATCATTGTAAAAAGAAAATGATGAATGAATTTTCCCAACTTACAGCTGGTTTCAGAGTTATACAACCACCTATTAGTAGGGTTACCACGGATTAAACAAGAACTTCTACTAATGTAATCATTTAATTTCCAGGGCCTTGAAGGAAGAAGCTAAGCGCGAAGCAGAACGCAAAGCACAGGTAATTATCACGTCTTGCTGAAGAAGATAAAATCAAAACTTTCACTAATATTAGGGAATGTTATACGAAACATCAAACTGGAAATTATCTTTCTAGGCAGAACGCGAAGCAGCTGAAAAGAAGAAAGCCGAGGAAGAAGCTCGCAAGGCTGAGGAGGCTAAGCGTAAGGCCGAAGAGGAAGCCAGGAAAGCCGAAGAAGAGGCCCGCTTAGCAGCTGAGGCGAAGAAAGCCGAAGAGGCTCGCCTAGCAGAGGAAGCCAAGTTGGCAGAAGAGGCACGCCTTGCCGAAGAGGCCAAGAAGGCCGAGGAAGCGAGGCTAGCAGAAGAGGCTCGTTTGGCTGAAGAAGCCAGGCTAGCGGAGGAGGCCAAGCTGGCAGAGGAAGCCAGATTGGCAGAAGAGGCCAGGCTCGCTGAAGAAGAGAGGCAGGCGGAACAGAGGAGGCAAGAGGAACTCGCGAGGTTAGAAGAACTGGAGAAACAAGCTCAGGAAGAGCGTGAGGCAGAACTTGCCAGACAGGTACCTGTTAATATTCTTTTTGCCTTTCTTTTTCTTTCTGTCGTGGCTGTTCCTATCACCACTAATTTGTCTCGTCTTTGCTGCAGAGTATAAATGTCAAAATAATTCACAGGCTGCTGAATTAGCGGAGATCGCCAGACAAGAATCCGAACTGGCTGCTGCTCGCTTAGAGGAGCTGTCGAGGAGCGAATCGGCCGCCGACAACGTTTTTGAAGACGCCAGGTGATCAGAAAGAACTGCTAATACTCAAGCTAGTCAATAAAATTAAAACATAATACAAACAAAAAAAAATAATAATACAAACAACTCAAAGATTCAGAAAGATAGTTACATATATCGAAATTCTTTACTCCTTCTCTGAGTATCCTCCTGAAGAAAACCTAAGGAAATTATTCTGTAAAACTTATTATTATAGTAACATATTATTATATTTAAAATTTTACATTTTCTGAAATTAATACCGACTTGTTTTCTCTCCAGTGAAACGCCAGCTGAGGAGCCAGAACCTATCGTAGAAGAGCCCCAGTCACCCGAAGAGGCGCCCGAGGCTCCCGCAGAGCCCGAGGCCGAGGCAGCAGAAGTCAGCGAGGACGAAAGAGCAGAACCAGATGTGACCGACGAAGAATAAATCAACAAACTCTTTATCAATTAATTCTAGATGTGCATTTTCATACTTGTAAATTATTAAATAGGCTAGGCGTCATTCGTGAGTTATTAGTAGAATAGACATGAATGACGTAATAGTCGGTTAATGCTCTAGCATATAGCTGCGTTCTGCATCTTGGGTACAAATGTTAAGTTTTTTAGTTTTACCATTTTAGGGAGTTTAATTTTTGTTGTTATTTTATTACCGCAGCATAACTACGAGCATTTATGCATTTTTGTCTATAGAATCTTTCTTTTGCGTAATCAAATTATGCGAAATTGAAAGTGTAGAGAAAATGTATTTAAATCCTTTCCCTTCATGTGACAACTCACTACCACCGTTTAACGAAGTAAATTATAAACTAAAAAATTAAATGTCTAGTGTTAAGTGTTTAATAATATATTTTGTTAAATTTTAACAATAAAAGACATATTAACATGATTTGTTTTATTTCCATTTTATTTTGAGAGTAAAAACTCAGAAGTTTAGTTTGATCTTATGAGGTAGTTTTGAAGTTGTAGTTCAATAAAATTTTGTCCATAAATAACTTCAACAATAAATAATCTAACTTAAAAGTAGTTTAAAATAAAATTGTTACTTATCATAAATCCATTTTAACAATTTCTTCTGCAGCGTTAGCAACCTCCTCTTTAGTGACTTTTTTTTCTTGTTTCTTCTCTGGTAACTTCACCTCGGGCTTAGCTTTTTTATTAGGTGTTGGGTTCTTGTTAATTTCAACAAACTCTTTATCCATATCAACTACTTTTTGTTTGATCTGGAACAAATTAAAAATAATTAATAGAACAATTTGGTAATAACAATCTCTGCTCATTCATGCTAATAAAAAATTCTAAAGATCAGTCTGGATTTGGTCAATTTTTTTATGATAATACAAAACGTTATCAGTATGAAAGTCTAAAATACAAAAGCAGGCACATTATAATCAATTTGTAGAGATAGGTATAGACATTTCTTCTTTTACTTCTCTGGTGGTGTGATGAGATGTGTAGGAAGAATAATGAGATGATGAACTTACATCCTTCAAGCCTAAGTTAACAGCTTTCGCTTTTGTCTTCTTTAAACTTTTAGCTCCTGCCACTTTAAAAACGTTCTGCTTGGGCCCACCACCTTTGGCGCCTTTCTTGTTTTTACCCATTACTGGAATAGCTGCCCGCAAAGACCTTGACCTTTGCAAGAGTACAATGAATAGCAACTTTTTGATACAATTTTTATCAAATTTTAAGAAAAATTAAGCAATTATCTACGCAGCTACGTCTTGAATAGTAGCAAAACATAACCTCTAAAAATAAACACCACCGCATTTGATTGACATTTTTGACATATCAGTGCATTTGACATTTGCGTAGAAAAAAATCTGGAAATGTTAGAAGAAGGTTGGATTTTAAACAGAGAGCTTCTGCTCTCTGATTTTAAATCATGTATAATTTTTATTTTGATTATATTTTGTGCCAGTAACTTGAGTTAACTAAGGCATACTGTTTTGCTATTTTACATTAATTAAAAATCACGTTATTAAAATAATCTTACATCAAAAAACAATAATTTATTATCAACGAAACGCATATCATGCAGTACAACAAAACGCAAATTTTATTGATTGCGATGCGAAGTGAAAATTGCTATTTCATTGATAAAGGAGTTTAAAATCTTTAATCCTCTTCAAAGCAACAAATTGTTGCTTTTATTTTGTATAAAAAGGCAGAAAAACCGCCAAAATTGCGTTCTACTCAAACGGAGACGGCTCCCCCATGGCTAAGGTACGTGAGATGCCGGTAACCGGTCTGACATCTTGTTTAGATAGACCTTAATTTACATACTTGATTTTATTGAATGAACTTGTTATGAACTGGCATCCTTAGATTAATAAATTTTATTAATCTAAGCTGGCATCCTGATTCCTGTTCTACTAGTTCTACTTTAACTTTCAAAGCAACCGCTGGATACAGTGTAACATTGTCCAATTTAAAATTTCAATTATGTCTACCAGTGGTGAGAAAATTGAAGAGTTGGTAAGTTAATGAAACCGACAATTTATTTGCACAGCGACTAATAACTTAAACAAACAGATACTAGTTAACTGTTACTAACCGGTACTCGTACATACCAGTTGCAGGTACTGGCTAAAAATAATTTTATCTCTGAAGTTAAAAAAGTTACTTTTAAATTGACAGGAATTTTTTTTTAAGAATTATAAATTATAAAATTTATTTTTTATTTCCAGCCAGTGCTATATTCTTACTGGCGCAGCTCATGTTCGTGGCGGGTGCGCATCGCACTCAATTTGAAGGAGATACCATATGACATAAAGGCAGTGAGCTTGATCAAGGGAGGCGGAGAGCAACACTGCAATGAGTACCGGGACGTCAACCCTATGGAGCAAGTCCCTTCGTTGTGCATAGGTAATTGATGTCCCTTGTTTATTTAGAATATGTTTTTAGGAGTTTGTTGTTAATACCAAGATTTCTGGTCCGCTTACCAACGTTAATTGTGTGACGTTCGCTTTAGACGCTTTTTTAATTACGGAAGGTCATGTCCTTAGTGAAAGTCCATCACACATGTGACAATTTACAACAACAACAATATAGAGAACAATAGTGTCTAGACAAACCTAAAAAGGATTTAGGACGCTATTTGGATCAAATATGTAATTGCTCAATAATGAATAATAAATAAATAAAATAAATAAATAAATAAAATTTCTTTCAAATGCTTCCAAAGTACTGCTTTTCTTAGGGTGGTTGTAACAAAGATATCAAATGTTTGGTTACAGATGGGCATACATTGGTAGAATCACTGAGTATCCTGCATTACTTAGAAGAGACTAGACCTCAGAGACCACTCATGCCAGAAGACTGCTACAAACGCGCCAAAGTGCGTGAAATATGTGAGGTCAGTATTAAGCACTTTGCCTTAATTTATATTTTTCTCTACTATACATATAAACTATCACAGTAAGAAGTCTAATATTTTGACCTGTATCTTTTCCAGGTGATATCCTCGGGCATCCAGCCTCTCCAGAATCTCATCGTGTTAATCCATGTCGGAGAGGACAAGAAGAAGGAGTGGGCCCAGCATTGGATCGTACGTGGGTTCCGTGCAGTTGAGAAATTGCTGCAAGCTTCCGCTGGGAAGTATTGTGTTGGAGACGAGATCACTCTGGCTGACTGCTGCCTGATACCGCAAATTTTCAATGCTAGACGGTAAGAATTGTATTAATAACTACATTATTTTTTTCATGTAGTGGTTAAACTATTGAGTATTGACCACTGATTGCTATTTCAATATTTTTTTCACACAATTTTCAATGCAATTGTTGCAATTAGTTGCTATCCTTAAAATAAAATAAAACACCCGCTTAAAATCATGATAATAAATTTTAAAGTTTTTCCTTTTTGATCGTACAGGTTTGCTAGATTAAAAAAGTACTTAGTGTAAGTTTTTTTTTCTGTATGACAACACTAGGCATCTAAAATGTCCACAAATGTAAATGGCGCCAACCTGGCGCGCATAGAGGAATATTCCTCTATGCTGGCGCGCGATAGGAAACGCGCGCGGGCACCACTATGGACACCACAGAGCATGGAATCGCCGCCAAGGTTTCATGTTTGAGCACAACGCGCTACGCCCGCGCCTGTCGACAGTGGCCAAGCACTAAAACTGGCTACTCTATCGCAGATTCCACGTGGACCTCCGAGCGTTCCCGATCATCCTCCGCATCGACCGCGAGCTCGAGAATCACCCGGCCTTCCGCGCGGCCCACCCCAACGCCCAGCCCGACTGCCCGCCCGAAGCCGCCAAATGAGATGACGCCCCCGCCCTCGCCCAAATGCGAATATTGGCGAGTGTGGGACAAGAAGACTACTGGTCGTCTGGTGATGAAGCTGATGAGTATCGATAAACATTCCATAGATTTAAGGGCGTTTCTGAGATTTTCATTGCTTTAAAACTAAAACTTTGGTGAACTCTGGATAGTACTTTTTACCTACGCTACGTAGTCTACGTACGTACGTTAATAACTTTTTGCATTCCCACTAGGAGATTGTTTTGTTGATTACTTGGAACATCTCAGAATCGCCCCACTTATGTACTAGTACTACCTACACACCTGACGGATATTTTTGAAACTTAGGTCTAAAATTTCTGACTAACAGCAATTTATGTGTGCCAAAATAGAATTTTGGTCATTTCTAGTTCTACAAACAAAAGATTAGTTTCAATAAAATCCGTCGGCGTTAGCAATAGTTAAGATGAAAATGTAGCCCATCATGGGTCATTCTGTGAAGTCGACTTCACCATTTTACTCGTACAATGTTTCGGCTTAGTGACTGAAATATACCTAGTTGATATTATAGTTTAGCCAGGTTCTAAAATATTAAAAAACATCCGTTTGATACACTCTGCAGTCAAAAGTTTGAGAATTTTGAGCACAAATAGCCATATTTTTTGTAACAATAATGTTTGTATTGTGTATACAAATCCTGACTTAAGTGTGGTTTTTACGTACCTACATCTCATTGTGAAATACTCATAATGCGCACATAAGTAAGTTACAACAATAAGCATATCTACCTTTTTACTCGGTAATCATATTTTAATCATTGGGTGTTAGGTACAGGCAAAGACTAAATAGACATCATTTGTTTCAAATTAGCATCTATTACAACAGTGTTAATGTACCGTCGTATATTCTTAACAAACTTGCCTGGCCTGTTCCTTACACCCTGTATAAAGTATCCACTAGTACTAGTTAAGTATCTACGTAATCCAGTTAAGTACTACATAAACACTTAATAATCAAGTAAAATTAGGAAGCCATAAACGTTAGAATATTCTTATACCTAAGTAATTGAGTACCTATAGAATTCCTTCAACAAGTAAGTGGCAATAAAACAACATTGCGTGGACGGTAAAAAAACTCGAATATTAAATATTTATGGTAGTGCTATAGGATAGGTATACAAATTTTACAAATAGCACGATCCTCTGGATTTTTTTGGATTAAACAAAATTCGATGTTATTTCGAAATTCCCCATTGGCGCGAAAAAATTGCAAATATTAGGTCCCCAAATAAAACATTGTCTGGAGATTATCCAATTTTTAGCATTTTTATAGAAATGTACTCAACTAATAGTATGATGTTCTTAGTATAGTCCTAGAGGAAAGATTTCATTCATGTAGCCTATAATATTTTAGTGTGGGTCGTTTTAAGTGAAGATACAATCAGCATCAATTATTCAATTGCTTTAAAACAGATGAAAAATACCGCATCATCCAATTTAGTATCTACGCATTTTTTAACGAATTCACATACAGAAGACTATTTTGAAGCTGATTGTACTCTTTTACTCAATTTTACAGTAATTTTTGTGCCATTCTGTAACCGTGTTAAACATATTATTGTATCTTTAGATACCTATTTATACAAAAGAAGATGATATTATTTTGTTTTATTTACTACATTTTGTATTGTGATATTATATTTTATGGTGTTACTTATGTTATTTTGGTTATCAATTTACACTATTGGCTAAATAAAATTTATTATGTTTCAAAGTATAATTTAATTTTAAACCATTCTTTCCTAGACCTAACCAACACCAGTGACATCATAGTTTCCTTTGCCGTAGGTAGGATAGAATAGGATCGTAATTCGTAATAAGTGCAATCGAGGAGGCCTCGCCTCTGCACAAAACTAGAGTATTTTTTAAGAACAAACAGGCTAGTTTCCTAAAAAAAATTTAATTAAAGAAAATATTGGACACGTATATTTTTAATTGTCAATCAAACAAACAATTACAAAGTTATAGTGCGTTGAAGTTCCGCGCGACGTCACAAAGTGCAGCACTTTTACGCACTCACTGACTTCACGGGCCTTTTCTTTAGAACTTTGGCACGCTTTATCTCTTTATATTTTCATTAGTTTTAAAAAGTGAAAAATAGGTGTCGAGTATTTTTTGATAAGCTAACTGACGGACTAATTAAAACTCTTGCTTTTTTACCCAGGAAACATCCCTAATACTGGGGCTAAACGGCTAGATCATAGAATGTCCATTCAGGGCCTTTGTTGGACACCCTGTGCAGGCAGATTGGGAAAGAGAAACCTGCTGCAGATAAACTGTCTATGTTTCACATAGTAATATTACCTTGTTTCTCTATCTGAACTACATAAAAATAAATAAAAATCCTTTTTTTCCTTTTTTGTTAAGGTTTTTGAACAAAAAAAATATTAAAAGAAGTTTATGTGTCAATTTCTGAACGTATATCTGAAACGTCAAGTTCGAATGACAATACAGGGTTTGGTGTTGCAATGTAATTTAAAGTTCCGCAAAATAAGGGTAATATTAATAATTCAATTTGGAAATGTATTACTAGTTTACAACAAAGCTGAATTGGTTGTTTTTTTTTGCATTGTTTTTATGTTTTGAATATTTACCCCCTTACTAATAAAAAGTTAAACACTCGTTGAACACTGTTTTAAAATGACATTTCCATACTAAACGTCACTTTAAAACACTGTTCAACGAGAGTTACCCCCTTACTAATAAAAAGTTACACAGTTGTTGAACACTGTTTTAAAATGACATTTCCATACTAAACGTCACTTTAAAACACTGTTCAACGAGCGTGTAAGTTTTATTAGTAAGGGGGTTAGTGTTTAAAAGGATTTACGTCATATATTACCCAACAGTGTCTTAAGTGATATTATTTTATTTATCCTTACTGTTTATTTTATCCTACTTCTACTGTCGTTTCAATACAGTGTTCAGTGGTGGTTACGTTTCCATTTTCAGCACTGCTAGCTAATATTAAAATTTCTTGAAATTGTCTAAAAACGGTTAAAATCGTGGCAGGTGGCATGCCATACATGACAGTATGTAAATTTACTGTATATCACACTCTTATTTTGATGAAGTTTATCTTTTGAACTTCTATGTATAAGTATAAGGCCCGTAATGGGAGGCCATGTTTCAGAATCATAAAGTATCTTTAAGGCCTCATCACAGCGCTTTGAGACAAAAATATATTATGATGGCAAGTGCTAAAAAAAGCAACGTTGGAATAAACGGGTTGCCTTCTTTATTATATTTTTTATTTTGTTACAAAATTCAAAGGTTTTGGAATAAAACATAGACCTTGATTCACATTTTAAATTATTTATTTAAAGAAAACAACAGCGATACATAGCTAATATTATTTACAAGAAAATTAGCTGAGGAAAAATATTAAAATAGGATTATATTTTTTAAAAGTAGGGAAATAAATCATGGAGATTTTATACATAATTGTGGCAACACTGGGCAGCTGACTGTCAAATGTATCGAACGCCTTGGGTCGGTCGTTGTGCTCGCGAGCCGATGCCTCTAATGCCTCAATCGTGCTATGAAATACCCATATTGAGTATTGTTGTTTTTTCCCCGAGCTCAGTTTCGCGTTCGTACTGGTTTAATGAGAATGAACTGCGTTCTGTGTTCAGTGCTTGAATAACAATGCCAGTTGTGTCCAACAATTGTGTAGTGCTGTGAAAATACCTTGTGTTTGGTGGTCAATCGGTGCTGATCAACAATGACCGAGAAGAATAAATCAGAGAAGATGACTAATGCATCAAAACCTGTTCCCATGAAACTTTTTGCAGCCTGGGAAGTGGACAGGACGCCATCCAATTGCATTCCCAGGTAAGTTTAGTGTTTAAAACGCGGTGAAGTGTGATGTTTCTGTTAGAATTTGATGATGCAGGCAATAGGTGCTTGGTTTTGTGAATACGGAGTGTTTGTGTTCATGATTGGCGCAGGCGGATAGGCAGAGTGATTGTACTCATTTGTTTACGCTAATAATGTTAAATAACATTGTTTGAAGCGTTTATTGAGAGATAATCAGTCGCCCGGCGCCTTATCGTGGTTGTGCTACATTGTTAGTATGAACAAATCCAACCGCAATTAGTCAACCAGTAGTTATTGCGGTTTATTAAATATGAATTCCAATGTATCATCATAGCATCAACATCCAAATTATTTGAAATTCCTTTGTTACTTATTCTCTTATTGGAATTCATGGAAATATGCCTTGTTTATTATCAATTTTAGGGACTCGTTTCAAAATTGAAGCTAATGATCACTTAGGTTCAAGTTCATATTTTATAGACTTTAAAACTTTCACTTGGTATCTATTCTATACTATCAAACTATAATGTTTCCCATAATTTTATAAAAATTAATACGCTTAGATAATTCAGATCATTAAAATGTATTGTCTCTAACATATTCAGAATGTTATTTTTGTTTTCATTAGTTTTGCAATTAACTTACAGTTAGGCTAGTTACTTACCTACTACAAATTAGGAATATCTGTCAATATTTAATTTTATCTCAATTTTAGGTGTTATCAGCGAGTTCAATTTGTTTATTGACTTCATAAATTATTACTAGGAGGAAGTAAGTATCTCATTAGTCTGTATTTAATCTTTCAGTGCGGCTTGCCCACATTGATTTAGTTCAAAGTTTATCTTCATTCTAAGAATAGAATAATAAAACCAAGCAATGTAGATAAGTTACTGTATGTTTTTTACAGCCGTTATAATTGTTATAAATGTGCTTTTTCAATTCTTACTCAGTCTCAGACAGGCAAATAAATATTTTTTCCTACGCTATGTATAAATATTTTTTGACAATAATGTTGTGTAATTCCTTAGATAATTTATGATGTTCTTTTATTCTTAACATTTGAATTCTTTATTGATAATAAGAAATAGATGGCCAGATACAGAACCTGGAAGAGTTTATTGTAGTGGAGACTATTTTGCTAACATATTATTATTTCTCCAACAAAAACTTATTCTTTTATTTTGGCCACGACTTTGTTTTGAGAACCATGACTTAGAACAAAAACATTTGACTACAAGGTGGGAAGAAAAACTTAGCCGTAATGTTAAGAATATTAGATTCAGTGTCATGTACCAAGTTCAGGCTTAGATAAGCAGTAGAAGCTCTCAGCCTCAAAACTTGCTCTGTAATAACAAAAGTTAAATGGCATGTGGAATTGTGGACTTAACAAAATGTATTAACACTACGCATGTCACGCGTCGCCGCTCTAGGCGGCAGGAATGTGCTGAGCGTTGACTGCCTGTCTGTGAGTCGAAAGTCGTGGTCGAGGTCGACTTAGACTTATTATGATAAACATTGTTCTTAAGTACAAGATTCGGTCACGCTCGATCGTGTAAACGTTAATGCTTTTTATATGACATTTATCCAGTGAAACTCTTAAGCTTCAACCACACCAAGACGTGCAGATCGCCATCGCTGGCGCGATCACGCATGGGGCGATCATAGGCCAATGCCAATGACAGGTCGCGCGGACTGTCATAGGTCGCGCGACTTGTCATTGGCCGGCGATGGCAATCTGCACGCGTTGGTGCGTTTTATAAGCCCGGTGCAAGCTTCTGTAACTGCGCCTTTGTCTTCAGTCAGTCAGGACTAACTCATGAACTATGATACTAATCGCACCCCCCTAATGGCATATCAGGTTCCAGGCCCCCCCTGAAAAAGAACCCTAGATACGCCAATGCCTGTGCCTGGGCATCGCTTGACCCATCCATGTTGCGAGACTGTAAATAGGTACCTACTTCTACGCGTGATCCGCTCCAAATGAGTCTACTTTACCTCCCTCGTACCGACCACTGTGCCGATAGGAATGAATCAAATGATTGGCATGTGGGTGTCAGTCAGGATGCGCCTGATTCCACAAATTGTCGCGCTTTGATAACGTTTTAACGCAAGGCCGCGGAATTATTCAATTGAAATAAGTTTTATTGTCTCCGACAGCGAGTTCCGCGGTTCTCTCAAATTAGATTTAAAAGTATTCGACGAGGGAATGTTACCAATTCAAATGAAATGACGTCGGTCGGTCGGTTTCGGTTGAACGTAGACAAATGGGGTAGTAAATCTTGAACGAAAAAGAGCTTGTATGTTGGAGGACTGTCATTGTAATACATTCAACGATTGGAATAACAAATTGGAACAAAACATACGAAATTTCGCGCAAGTTGATAAGACATGTATGGCCTTTAGTCCCCAATCAACTGCGTAGGTTTTCTTCGGCTTGTCTTTAACCGGTATGTAAGTTCAATGTTAAATTAGATTTAAATCTACAAGGGTTGAACGCACCTGAACAATGTATAGTGCAAGGTCCAGTGACGCATTGTAATGAGCTAAACGTTTTAATTGATTTTACGAGCTAAAGTGGAGGTGATATAAAGGCTTGTTAAGACCGAATGGCGATTAAGGAATGTCCATTCAAGATCGAATCATTTGGCAAATAAACCTCGTCGTAATGCCTTCTTCTTCTTTTCGTGTCGACAACAAACCTACACAGCGTCAGCCCAAAACTCCGCCACAAGAGTGGCGTTGTCAGTAGCACTCATCAAAT